GCACTAAATCAGATTCGCAGTCTAAAGGAAATTCCCGACTAACTGTCATATAAAAGAGGAAAGGTTCTCTTGTTAAACATAATACTAGCAAATAAAAATGAATATCCAACAATTTTGAAGCTGTTAAATATAATACCAATGGATGGTCACTACTTTAATGTCTGACATTTCAATATCTCTTCAAGTTGCTTGCTTGCTATCACAATGCAGTGCTACAAGAGTGACTGCAGTTAGAATGGTCTTCATTATGTCGCTCGTAATTCTTAATGAAAATGCATAAAATATCATTCCGTGTATGCTAATTCAATCAATATAGTAAACTATTTCACTGGAATGATCGCACATACTACGCTATTTCGCATCTTAATAAGGATTCTTTTTGATATTACTATTTCGTAATGTGAGTAATGTGCTTTTATAATCGGAATTTATATGTAATTTATTTAATTTTTATGTTAATGCAAAATATTGAGGCATGATCGATTGACACGAGTTAACGGTTTTTGGTCCTAAATCCTTTTGAGTATATGATTTTATTCTTATGAGCATATATTTCAATAAACATGTGAATGTCGAATATACAGTGTACCGTTAATTTATCGGAATGTATCATATTACTATATAAATACATACCATTAATTGATCGCAATGTAAGGTCATGCTTGTATCTTAGAAAGAAGCTATGGAAAGCTTCCGTTTAAAGTAAGATACCGAAATAAAACTTTGAATTCTTAAGAATTACTTCAAAATATATACATAATTTAAGATATAATATTTGACTTATTTACTATTTTATTGTTGAAGATCAAGTTATGTAATCAGACCATTTAGGTAGAAGCATTTTTTTCCGATTATTTGTTTATAAAGGACTGTGTCTTTGGGGAAGAAAGATTGTTATTTTATCCATAACTAATTATCCTCGCTCTTTTTAATTATAACTGCAACGGATAGTCTAAGTAAATTTTATACCGTGGTTATTTATACGGTTTATCAGTTTACAAATAATTATTATATACATTGTAGTAAAAGTTTTCAAATTGGTATATCTCTTTATCTAAATACCTTGTTACGATAAAAAATATCTTGTTTAAATCTTAAATTCTAAAAGTCCTAAATTGTAGTAAAGTATTTGAATTCCGGACATTAACCAACTTATAAGACTAAATGGATGTACCTATGAGAATAAGCCTGAACCAACAAACAGGATTTACTGAAACTGGTGACTCTGAACTGGTGAAAGCTAGTCCAAACCAGTTTCAGACTTGTCTTGGACCTATATATTCGGTACATTGTACAATCTCGTATTTGCAATAGCTGTTTCGTTCCGGCAAGGTAAGTAAGGAGAATAAAAGGGTTTTATGAAGTTTTATAAATTTATTTATAAAGACAGGAAAATAATATTTTATGTAACAACCTTAAATGTTATATTCCGTTGATTGACGTGAAAAAAGGCTATAAGAACATCGTGTTTAAAAATGTTTGGAATGATATGTTGATTTTGGTTTCCTTGTTTTAAGCATTTTGAGATTGATTACTAATTAAATTGCGATATATCAAAGGAACATAATTAAGAAAATTTTTTGATAAGTTTAAATTATTATATTTAAGAATTAATATTATTTATATTAATTTGCTATAATTTTAACCTAAAAAAACTGCATGTGATCTATTATATGGGCCGATCGTTAAATACTGTTGGTTAAGGAAGTTCGAAACATAATTTCGCTTATTTAACTTAACCCGAAATTTATAAATTTTTACAATATTGTGATAAATTTTAATATTTATCGGTCTGCTGATGTATTAATACTTTATCGGCACATATGCACAATTTCATATTAATACACACTCCCCGAATAACATGAGTAAATAAAAAATTATCCAGCTGGAGATTATTAATGTAGTGCTTTTCCTTATGTTTAAATTTTATATAGCTTATGCGTATATTATAATTAGATTTTTTATAATTTACTATATATATGATTTATTTTGTAATTTTCCTCTTATTATGAAATAGCTTATGCGTTATTATTAATCTATCCAGAATAGATACGTTTTGAATAAAAAATAACAAGTATGAACAAATTTTATTATATACAGATGAAAGCCACACTCAAATACTACTTTTCTACATTTCACCATACAATTAAGGCATTTATCTTAGCGAGTAGCTTGGAAATTCCTTCGTTAAAATTCGGATGCGTCAACCACTTCGTTATTTGCTTATCTTGCAAAACTGTTAACCAATTTTCTGATGATTTGTGCAACAAACTTCGCGAAATTTTGAAAACTCAAGAATTCCGTTATTGTGAAATTCGTTTTCACGACTTTAGCACGACTTTCGAAGTTCGGCGGTCACATGCTGGTTCCCACTTCGATCTTCGCGTAACATTGGTTCGGCCATTTTGAAATCTATGACCCACACGCACTCCACCTTCATGATAATGTTGTCCCATAAACTCACAGCTGCCGATAGATTTCTAGCGGTTTACAGTTTTTTCAGTCGAAACCTTATTACTAGCGCATGATTTCAATTAACGCAGACATTTCAAACCGTCACATGAACGGAGCACAGCACGAACTTCTCATTAGCACGGCTAGATGCAGACTGAGCTGCGAAGTTGACCCCAAGATGGCCGCGCTGCCCTAGCGGAACAGACGGAAACGTAATCTAATCCGAGTACATAATTTTCTATTTTTGAAACTAAAATGTGTAGAGCAGTGCTTCGAGAAATAAAATTTGAAATTGTCTCAATCCGTTGAGGGTAATTGTATTCTGCATTAAAAACTGAATTATTATAATTTTCATTTATAGATCATAAACAGTTATAAAGTTGATGAAATACAAATTTTTTATCAGCGTTTAAAGAAGCCTGACGACATTATAGTATTAAATATGTAATCTAATGCAGCTAGTACACTAAATGGTTAACCTTAGATATACGTGCTGAAAGCATTTATTTAATTCATAAAAAATATATCATGTGCGACATATATTCACGTGTACTTCTGCAATTTACGTAGCAAATTGATTAATATTGGCTTTTCGAAATTAGTTCTTTTGAGAAAAACTAATTCGAAGTTATCGAATTAGTTGAATTCGAACAAAAACTCAAGAATTGTTGATAAAGCAAAAATTCAAGAATGATAAAATAAAAAAAAAACCTGAATTAATAAAACATAAAACGTCAGATACGTAGCGTATTCGGAAACTAAGTACCCTTTCATTCTAGCGCCATCGCAGCACTGCGGTAGGCGTCCCGCGCATGCGCACTAGTCCTTCTTGTTCACTGACTTTCAATTGTCACCATTTTGGTTGCTCTATGTTGTGTTTTCAGTTTGCTGTGCACATTCAAAATGTTTAAGACAATTGGTTCTCCCGCTGACTGTGAGATTCGTGCCGTGATTAAATTTTTGAACGCGAGGAATGTTAAACCGGCCGAAATTTATCGTCAAGTGACAGAAGTTTACGGTGAATACGCGATAAGTGATGGAATAGTGAGAAAGTGGGTAAGAATGTTTAATGCAGGTCGAACAAATGTCCACGCCGAGGCTCGGAGTGGTCGGCCTTCTGTTGTCACCGATGATTTGGTAAAGAAAGTTGATGAAGCAATTCATGAAAACAGACGCTTCACAATGACAACTCTTTCAGAGGCATTTCCACAAATTTCACGTACTGTTTTGTTCGAAATTGTGTCTGACCGCTTGAATTATCGCAAACTGTGTTCCCGATGGGTTCCAAAAATGCTCACTGATGTTCACAAAACAAAGCGACTTGGTAGTGCCCTGACATTTCTCACGCGGTACAGTGATGAGGGTGAAAACCTTTTAAACCAAACTGTGACAGGTGATGAAACTCGGGTGTGTCATTTCCCACCAGAATTGAAACAACAATCGATGGAGTGGAGACACATTCATTCTCCAAAAAAAAAAAAGTTCAAAGTGACAATGTCATCACAAAAAATCATGTACACTATCTTCTGGAATAGGAAAGGCGTTTTGTTTACTGAATTTCTTCCCAGAGGTGAAACCATTAATGCGGCACGATATTGTGGGACTTTAAGGAAACTAAGGCGTGCCATTCAAAACAAACGAAGAGGAATGCTCAGTAAAGGAATTGTGTTGCTCCATGACAATGCTCGGCCCCATACTGCTGGTGTCACTCAATCGTTAATTCGACAGTTTCAGTGAGAGCAGTTCGATCACCCGCCGTACAGCCCGGACATGGCGCCGTCCGACTATCACTTGTTCCTGCACATGAAGCGCGAGCTTGGTGGCAAACGCTTTGGATCTGACGATGACACGAAAAATGCTGTGGAGTCGTGGTTATCGAAACTGGCGGGAAGTTTCTTTGACGATGGTATACAAAAACTGGTCACCCGCTATGACAATTGTTTGATCATTTGCGGAAACTATGTTGAAAAATAGTTTAAGACATGTATTTTCATGTAAAAATAAAATTGGATTCGAAAAATTGTTTTACTATTTTTTTTTTCAAAACGGTACTTAGTTTCCGAATACGCCTCGTATTATAAAATACAAAAATAGACTCATGATGATGCGAAATATGCAACGAAGTGTTATTAACGTTTATTTTTTTCTATAACGGCAAAATGAATATAATTTATAGTATTTTACTAAATTAATTTGCAATTTTTATGTAATAACAATAATGATAATTCGCGCAATAAAATTAAGAAAATACATGTGTTATGTAAATAAATAAATAATTGTTACTAATTATAAACTGAAATTATTTATTATCATAATTAATAACAATAATAATAAAAGTAAACTCATCATCATTTTCAACTTTCATAACTTTTGACGCATTTAAAATTACGAGAAATTGAAAGTTGTCTATTCGTAAAACTTCTTGGTATGGTGTCACCATTAAACATGTACTTTTTAGTATTTTGTTGAAAGTAATATAAATTTCGCATATATGAAGAAAAACTGGTTGCTTTGTAGAAATAAAGAAGAACCACAAAAACGACTGATTCTATTTGATAAATTTTTTATTAATAATAGCATAAATAACTATTAGTTTACGTTTATTACCAGTAAAAAAATTATAAAAGCAAAGAATGAACATCAACTTGATTTTTGCTAACCGGAGAAGTTCAAACGTTTAGGTATTGATTCAAATATTAAATTCATCATACTTTAAGAAACAAACAATCAGGTCTCTCTTTGATTTCAGATTCTATCGTACTACCAGCAGAAAAACGTACACTTTTCTTAATATTTTTAAAATTTCAAATAAAGGAGGATTTATACCAGTCTCTCAATCAAAGATTATAATTTTTAGAGTAACAGTGTTACGTTCTACATAGCTATTTTTTAATGCTTAGAATCACGCAGTATTCAACTTTAGGTTGGCATTAAGTAAAACTTTTAGTAATTACGCAGAACTCATTGGTTCTGTTGCTCCAAGGAGTTAGTATAATGTGAGGAATATAAAAATGCATTTCATAAAATATATTGCTTGGAATTTTTGTCACATCCTCTTCTGTTTTCCTTTAAACTAATCTACAATTTAGGTTTAGTTCTACCATACTTTAAGGTTAATTTCTTCTCCTCATTTCATTGTTCTTGAATATCTAGCTTGAATTTAGATCCTAATTTTCAAATGACTTTGTTCATTTCTTTGTGAGATATGAAGAAACATAAAGGTTGCTTAAATATGAGAAGCTATCAAAGACTCTAATTGCTTACCATATATTGATTAAAGGTCACAATTTCACTATTGTAATTTAATATGTTTTACTGCAACGTAGATACTATAGCCATAATTTAAACCTTCAGATAAATTAATCAATAAATTCTACTATTCAAATCTGCTGGTATATTTTCTCATCGAAATTAATAACAAAGTTTCTTTAAATTAATTAAATTGCATAATTTTGCTATCATATTACACACCAATACTTTTACTAACGAAAGATAGTATTACTAATGAATGCATGAAAAATTTATATTTAGTAACCATGTATAAATAAAATCTTTAAATTATTTCTACTTCTAAATGTTTCTTAGGAAATATTTCTAATATAAAATTCAGTTTGTAAATTATTACTATCCGTTATGGATCCGAACAGGGAAAGGTTGTTAACTGCTTGTAAGCAAGCAATTTTGCGTTCAGTTAGTACTTTAGTAGCCAGCTAAAATCAGAAGAAGTTGTAAGTGATGTATATATTCAAAATTTTTATTCAAAATTTAGTACAGTGTAAAACCATTTGAATAGAATTATTTATATACAAACGCAATAATATGTTGGATAATACTGGATTCAGCAAGATAAACCGAACCCAAAGTAAGTGAAGTCTTCCATGTCCGGTTAAAGTCTTCGGTTTATCTTGAGTCACCTTATACAGTGATGGTGTAAAGTCAACCACGTGGAACACTGAGAACTCAGCATTTTCATAAACTGAAATTTAAATCATATGGCAAAAAAATCAATATATCCTTAATAGTCTCTTAAAAAATTTCTTTCCTCACTAATTTCCTATGGCAGGGAAATACTATTTTGTTTCTTTGGAGTACATGTATTGAAATGCTTTATGTCTTAAGCTCCTGAGTACTGTAGATATGTTCACAAAAGGCTGAATTTAAACAGCATTTATTAGTTAGATTTGCATAAATACTTATGACTATCTTTATATTCGTAAACTTTCTTATTCCGATATTAGGGCTAATAAAGAAAATAAGAAAACATCATATTTTAAAACAATATTATAATATACCACCTGACATCAAATTTGGTGATTGGATAAAAGCAGTCATGCTGGTCAGACAAAAATGAAAGAATTAATCACAAATAATTTACAAAATCTTTCGGAATGGTATATTGGAATAAAAGGTATAAAATTGGTATGCTACCAACACTTATTTTCTCAAATTGTGTTTTGTTTCTGCATGCTTCAAATTGGAAAATAAACATTTAAATCTGAGGTCATTCGCTAAGCAAATGATATATCAGAATGTAATATAAGTTACATCACTTGTGTTATGAAAGCAAATTTATTATGCGTATTAATATTAAAATTTCTTCGTGTTTGAAAAATAAGATTAAATCAATATTTAAATTTCTCATTTTAAAAAACAGATGGCATGACTTTATTTCTAATTTGTAAGTAAACACGAAGCAGATTGCACTGCACAGTATTTAAGAAAGAATTATTGCCTAATGAAGGTATTAATATTTGCAGAATTCAATTCAATTACTACAGAAAAGCCATAAAATTATACCAGGACTTATGTAGAATTAATCGTGCTTTCAATAAAACTAAGGAGACATAATTTTTTTCTTTTAACTTTAGAAAGTTTAAATGTATTAGGATTTACAATTTCACTTTTGTCTTTGCACAGCTAAAAGATTATGTCTAAAATAGTTGTTGAATCATTAGGTGAAATCAATGTCAGGAAATTGAAGAAATTCTCAATGCCCTCGAATTGAATTCTAAATTCCCGAATATGTTCGAACAAGTTTCCAGTTACACCACGAAGGCATGCGCAGTGAGGGAGAAAATACCTTGTATAGTGTTTTCAAAAAATATTAAAACGTCCATATAAAGCATTTATTCCAAATTTATATGCTGTTTATTTAAATGCCTACTTACATGCTCCTTAAGAAATTTCTGTCTGCATGCTCATTAAGAAAATATTTTGATAAATGATTCCATTGTTATAAAATATTAACTGTTCGTTTTCAGTTTAAATATTTTCACTTAAGTGTGATCATTATTATATTGTATACAACTATATATACTATAAACTAATGATATCTTAAGTTGCTTTTACTTGAAATTGACTTATATTAATTATTGCGATTCAAAGTTTCACGGTTAACGCAAGAAAAATCTGCTAAAAATTGTCACAAAAATCCATTCTTTTTCTCAAGACATAAACGGAATTGGTCAAAATGGTTTACTTAATTTTAGATGACCTAATATCATGCCTTAATTCTGAATTGATTACTTATGCTTTAAATGTAAACGAAAACTTAACTTTTAGAATGTCATCAAAATATTAAGAAAGGTAGTATTTTCTTAATAGAGTGCTTCTTTGGCCTGCTTGAATTGAAACAGCTTAATGTTCTAGAGTTAGCCTCCTAGGTTACCGGATGTAACGCCATGCCTTTTTTTGACTTCATTGAGGGTTATGTTATGGATGTTACCGTGTAATTAAGGTCATACGGATACGTCCATAGCATCCACCAAGTCTTAGAAGCCCGGGTGATTACTGATGCGGAGACGCTTTTTTCCTTTGCTATTATCCCTTAGATATGTTCTAGCAACCTTAACCTATAAGGAGAGCTAATCTTGAAAATAGAATTGCTACTGCCATGGAGACAGTTACAACATATGTTGTAACTTATGTTGAACCAAGAGAGACAAACATATGTTGAACCAAGAGAGATGTTAACAACTTACATATGTTGAACCAAGAGAGACAAATTTAATCATCATCTTGGCACTGTTACTGAAACTAAAGGAAATAACATTAAAACACTTTGTAAGTAAATTTTCGACAGTTTTTCTTTCATGTTATGTATCATCCATTAATTTGTATTCGTTGATTTAAGAACAGAGATTATTTGAAATTGAGTCAACTATTTTTTTGACCCTAACTAATATTTAATTCACTTTAAATTCACATTTGTTCTTTGGTAAGAAACGGTCATGTAATATCTATTTTCCTGCTTCTTGAAGTTAAAAATTTGTTTCTTTCTTCCCCCCCCGTTTTTAGAAAAGGAACTTAAATTTAATCTTCTCTCTCCAATATTAATTGCATCCTTTTCAGCTAATTGGCAGGGTTTATTTTGTACTTTACTTTGGTGTACCCAATTCTATTTTTCATTACATCCGGGTTTTCTGCCCGGTGAAGTACATATAGATTTATCTTTTTTCTGTATCCCGTTTCGTCGCTCATCTGCTGCACTAACTGTCTTATAAATGTGCAATAGAATTATTTAAAACAAAGTGCCACATATGTATTATTGATTTCGGTACTGTTCCAGGTATCGCATTAAAAATAGTTAAATCCGAATTTTCTTGGTATAAGAGCACAGAGTAACCATATAATAATAAAAGCAACTCACTTGTTCGACAGTTCTTAGGAGTAGAACATCGGTGATACAGAACTGTTTCGTTGCCATATACGAAACAGCATTATTATTTTCTTCTAAATTGTTGCGTTGAAAGACATCTATATTCAAACTTCTGTTACATATTACATATATTTATTTTAATTACTTTATTTTCTTCGCACATTTTCATGGTTTTAGTTAATACATTTGCGAAAATTATTAAACTTGAAATGAATTGCACTGAATATTCCTAACTGATTTTATTTATTTATCAAATGTCTGGCAATTGACCAGCACGTCATTAGGCAAATACTGCTAACTGATGAAAGAATTCCCATGAATTATAAACGGCCCAGACTTTTTTTTTTATTTTCTTGGCTGCATACCTATATGAGATTTTCTTGAAATGCATAATGCTATGTGATATTCTTGAATAAATTCTTGAAGTACTCCTTCTTTCATGTGCAATTTCTTTATATTGTTTGAAAAATAAATGATGATTTAATATTACATAGATTTTTTATCCAATATGAAGAGAATTCGAAATCTGTGTAAAGTTACTGTCTAGTTATAAAATAATTTGCAACAATATAATATTGAAAAGCTTAAATTTTATTGCTTAATTTATAGAATTTAGTGAATTTAGAATATTCCTTCAGTTTTCCAACTCCTAGTTCAACTCTTAAGTTTTTGCAGAGGTTATTTCTTTGACTCTATAGTCATTCTCTAGGTATGCATGCAAATTAAAAACGTCCGTTAATGTATGTTCACAGTTTAAAGGAAAATTGCTCTTTAAATGTTATATTTGTAGTATTCTTTTGATTTGAATAGAGCATTCGCTCATAATGAAGATAAACTTCTGTCTAAATCCATGTTTAAAGCTTAAAAACTATAGTATGTTTCTTTTTATTACAGTTTCAGTATAACTTTCTTCATGAAAAATTAATAATATTCAGATTTAGTTATGGAAGAAAATATGAGATCAATAAAGGTACATACGTCAGTTTTATTTAATTGTTTACCGAATTGCTTTTCAGTTTGAAGTTATTAATTTCAAAATATTTAGTTAATAAAACTGTCTGTTAAATATGCTGTGATGTAAATTGCTTTGAGTATTGTATCCGTATGTTGTGAACGCATAGATAATTCTCTATTCTAATTTCAAATTAAATACAAATTCATTATACTGTAAAGCATTATTATTGTTATGAAAGAGAGAACGAGAAATAAAATCAGAATACGATTATAAAAACGAAAACAATATTGTACTGCACACACAAATGTACTAGAAGAACATACACGTTCATTTCTCTTCAGTAACTGAAACACATATTTATAACTAGATGACATATCAGAGTCTACGCTAAAAATACATAACATTTAAAAAATCTCAAAAAGTAAATGAGCATTTTGTACATATGGCGTATAAAAATAATATAATACTTATTTACAGATACATTTGAAAACTTCTTGTTGCAATACTGATTTGTAAACTCAGAATTAGCTCCAGTAAGCAATTAAAGAATTACACTGTTGATTCAGGTTTTCTAAAACATTATAGAGGTAATAATACAATGAGAAAGGTAGCTGGGCGTGCACTGTCTATTATGTAATTATGTAGATTTTTTGATTGCTTTATTATAATTAAATTTCTTGAACAATTATATATAGTTTTGTTTTAAATGCTCTTTGAGTTCATTTTGCTACTCTTTAAGATCACCATTAACTTAAATCAATAAACATATACTTTTTTCATTTACTGTACAAAAATAAGTTAAAAATAAGTTAATTTCTTTTCCTAATTGTTATCCAAAATAATTCGTATCCGTGTATCAAATATCAGTTTGAGACATTCAAATGTCCGGATCTATGTCCTAACAGATATTCCTCAAGTGCATATGCCACAAATTTCTTTAATAGCACACAAACTTAAACTATGTGCGTTTTACATAAGGCACGAAACCTTAACATTTGCTCTCCGACATAAAATTTTCTTTCGAAATAAGTAAGTCTGAATACATTGTAAATAAGAGTAAACTACCTCAAAATACTAATTGAGCACTTCATAAATATCACAGTCTAAATTTGCAGTAATACAGTAAGCTTCCACATATTCTGTCTTTAACAGTGTTAATAATAATTATACTGTGATTATTACTTTATTTATTCTAAATATAGAAATTTTACTTTTAAATTTTGTAAACCATGAAGTTTATTTCCCACTATGAAACGATAAGCTATTGTGATCCTTGATAAGTGTGGTTTACATAATGACTTAACAATTCAAGCTTCTGTATCTTATCACGCAATTCAATTAAATAGTTCAATTAAAATGTTAAGACTGGTCCGAGTTTTAGTTAATAAACATGTAAATTTTGATAATAAAATGTGCAATTTTTCACTTGTTGCGCAGCAAACTCTTAAATAATAGCCGAAAATAAGTTTAGGAGCCCAACATTTGACAGTTTTTAGTTATGCATATGTGTGTGAGAATTTTAAGATTATTCGAACTTTGTAATAAAAGATTGAATAATTGTGAAGAAATTGCCTCAAATTACACATTTTAATAAATAATAAATAATTATAACGATGAAAATGAGTTTTCCTATTTTGAAAGTAAATTAAGTTGTTGTAACAGATATATAATATCTACAATTTATGTTCATTACGATCTGCTTAATTATTTTTGGCATTGCTGCTTATCCTTTTACATACTTATGTTTTATAGTTCAACGCATTATGTGTCTTCTAAAATTTACAATCAAAGCGAATTATACTTTTTCTCCTATCTGGGGAAAAAATTGGATACCGTTTATTAAAAAGTCCACTTTCAATATTAATTAAAAGTAAACCTGTTTAAAAAACTATAATTCTCGTATCTCGGTTCGAACAAGAAAATTTTGACTTAGCACTGGAGCATATGAAGATACAATCTCAACAGTCACAGAAAATGATGTCATTACGACACTAAAAAACAACAAGAATATTCAGTGAGCCATGTAAGATTCACAAATCAATATAAAACACAAAATTGCTTAAAAATCATTAGATTGGCGTAAAATTTTATATACAACTCTATTGACTTTGAGAGCAACTGACTTAGAGGCCTCTTTTTGAAGACTGTTTCAAGGAAAAAGATATTTCGGATTCGAAGAGCAAAATTCTGTTTAAAAGAATTTTTTAAGAATTTTTTGAAAAAGAGAGGTTTACGTTAGTCGTTCTCAAGTTGATAGAATTTTATACCAAGTCTACGTTTATCTAAAGTTGTTTTGTTTCATCTAATTTTATAAATGAATAATATTTATCAGAACTGTCCTTATATAAATGATCTAGTCTCAAGATATTCAATCAGCGTTTGGCTGATATTCACCCAAAACACATGGTGAAAGCGCAATACCTTTAGCCCAAAGTAAGTCCTAGATCTTGGATATTTAACAGATTTACTTGGAAATGGCTGCATGAACGACATTTATCCGAATGGTTGGAAAACTAAATGATCTAGTTCAAAGATGCTGATTCAGCATTTGGCTCATATTCACCCAAACTGATGAATATGCAACACTTCTAGTTGAAGGCTGTTCTAAAAGATTATTCAATTATTCTACTTGAAAATGTTTCCTAGAGACCATCCAATGTTTTGGAATATGCTAGATTTATACATTCATTTTTCGCAGTAGGTGTATCTGTCGAGGAGCCGATGACTTGTATTGTTCCAACGGTTCTCAAATTAGTGTTTGATTCGAAAGTCACCTTATCACTTGGCTGGAAACACGACCAAATCTTCTCTTCTATGGCATAATATGGCTGCACAAATATGATGTGCAACAGGAAGGACACGAAAAAGGAGATCACTATGTATCCAATAGCCATGAACAGCTGAAATTCCAAATGAAATAATTAAGCTTATATTTTAGTTTAATAACATAGAGCAGCATTCAAGATTAACTATTTAGAAAACAAATGCTTTGTTTATTTCTCAAAATTTAAATAACATAAATTTAACACTTCATGTTACATTATTAAGCGAATTTAGATTGAAGACCTTTGTACATATTTAACAATATAAACACTTTAAAATCTATGCTTATGTTGAAGGTAATCTGCTAAAAATGCAGCTTTAAGTTAATTTATTGTATAAGTTTTCTTTACAGTATTTTATCTTTTAAAATGTTAAGCAAATACAAAATTTTATTCATTTTAAGTTTATTAAATAGGTTCACTCTTGTGCTTTCCTATCGTAAGTTATGCACATTTGAAACTGTGCTCTACATATTTATAATTTTCTGTCCCAGTGATAACATTAATCAAAATACCACTATGTTAGGAATTGTTTCTTAGCCAAAGCGATGCTTTTGAATACATAATTCATTAAAGTTATTAAAACATAATAACGTTGTAAACATCTTATTAAAAATTAAATATTAAGGAATTATATATTTCTACTTATATTAGAAATTATATTTACGTTATATTAAAGAATTATTGCCGCCCAGACGGTATAGTAAGTAATAGTGGTAAATGGAGCTTACTGCGGTACCGAAGGACACGAGTTCGAATCCTGGAGAAGGCATGGGTGTATGTAAATGTATAGTATCCGTTCGGCATGGGGGCACTCTAAATATGGGCCTAGCCGAAAGTTCTCTCGTGTAGTTTGGTGGCAGGGGAGAGGAATGGGGTGTTCTCCCTTAAAACTGGGTTGGGAGTAGAAGCCCAACCTCCTTGAGGCTCTGATTCATGGAAGAATGGTTACCAGAGCCTCCAACAATATTAGAAAGTTGTCGGAATAATGATGTTTCTCATTTAATTCATATAAAATTAACTTTGGTTTTTCTAGTGTATTATCTTCCTCTGAGGCGTTATTTAGCAGTAAATGTATCATATTTATTCTGTTTATTGATATATTTACAGATTGCTGATACATTCTTTCTACTGAGACATTCCCAAAAATCATTATATGAGTTTCCTGATGAAATAGCTTCGAAAATATATTTACGTTATATTATCTTCCTCTGAGGCGTTATTTAGCAGTAAATGTATTACATTTATTCTGTTTATTGATATATTTACAGATTGCTGATAAATTCTTTCTACTGAGACATTCCCTAAAAGCATTATATGTGTTTCCTGATAAAATAGCTTCGAAAATATATTTACATTATATTATATTCCTCTGAGGCGTTATTTAGCAGTAAATGTATTACATTTATTCTGTTTATTGATATATTTACAGATTGCTGATAAATTCTTTCTACTGAGACATTCCCTAAAAGCATTATATGAGTTTCCTGATGAAATAGCTTCCTGATGAAAATGTTCCTTCTTTATTAAAAAAATTAAGTAGAATATAACATTAATTTAATGTCTCAGAAAATTTATCCTACCAGAGAACTTGAATTGTAATTAAGCCTAAACTCACGCAACACACTGCCTTTCTAATATGCATGGCATAACTGTTTTTAGAGTATCAAGTTTTAATTTTTTTAATAACAAATACTAAGAATACCCACTTTTGTTTCTTTCCAATGGCAGGCTCTAGCCTTTATAGGCGTTGACCACTATTAAGGCCGGAAGCTATGGTCTTTTTATTATGGAGGCACCTAACAGATGGGCCACCATTGCCTCTTATGAAAGGACGGCCAAATTACATCTGTGTCTACTCTAGTATTCCAAGCTGGGTCCTTCGGTAGGGCATCACTCAGAGGCATTAACTACTTTCCCGTCTGGGTGTCCCCCCAAAAAATATTAAATAGAAAATATTCCTATTCTTCGTCTTGAGAAAATGGATTGCATGAGTTAATACTTATTTTAAATACTGACAAATTTAATTATCTTTAAGAAATACTTCATAAGTTTAATAAAAGACGCTTATAAATTATGATAACTCTTATTAAAGGGTATTTTCCGTGGTATTTATACAAGTTTTAAATATAATATGATAAAATCATTCGTTTAATAGATGTGATTTTCTAAATAAATGGTAGTATTAATTGACTTACAAGTTCTGTGTGTCCCATAAACCAACGTTCTCGAAGAATACCACTGTGGTAAAACATGATAGGAATGTGCAACAGAAATGCCATGTAACATAACCGATCTAGAGGAAGGAAGATTCTTGACTCAAGCACCCGAGTCACAACTCCTGTAATAGATATATAACAATATTTTCAAAAATAACTCATAGAAAGAGATGAAATAAAGTTAACTATTTAATTAATTAAAATGAAGACAGTTTTTCTAAAAGTACTGTTATTACAGCGAGACTAAAATGGAAAATATTCACCAAAACATGGATTTTCCCTCCTTTGATAACAATTCGAAGACATTTCAAAGATTAATATCCTTTTTTTTTTCATAACAGATGTGCAGGTTGAAGCTTGATTTCCGTGTGGCAAATTCAGTTATCTCAACACTATCTGAAGAAAATTTCATCAGTTTTCTATAAAAGACTCTTTATTAACTTCAGGAGAAACATACATCAAAAGATTTTCTCGAGGACGGTAATGTTGTAGAGCACATTTTCTGGAGTTATATCGTCTTTCAATACCTTCAACTCTGTCATACTAAGCATGGGTATTCATGCGGCACCAAACATGATAACTAATTAGTTGCAACCAGAATGTAAAATACTAATTACAATTCATATGTTAATATTTTGACTCTTCTCTTTATATCTCATTAATTATACAAAGTTTTCTTCAAATATTTACACTTTCCAGAAACACAAAATACGAATTTGAAATTAATATGTATTTCGTGTGATAATGCAGTAGTAAAGAGAAGACTTCGGAATCCTCTCAAGATTGTCATTTAAACCTTTCTAATGCTAAATATTTATTATATTTCTTTCAACCAGTCAATATTTTCCCACTTGGTTTTACAAAGCCTTTTGAAATATGGTTTCTTTCAAATGAAGATTAATAATTTAAATTGGTGATCTTCCCAGAATAAATATTACTGTGGGGTTCCCTAAACGTTTCTCTTCATTCTGCATGAAAATGTAATTAGATGAATTACCACCATGGAAAATAACTGGTACGCAAATTTCTTGCGAAAAAATGAATCAGAAGATTCAAACCAATTTATCAAACACACACACACATATATATATATATACGCTGGGAAATAAGTTAGGTTTTTACCTTTAACCATCTACGTGCGCCTCCTGCGATTTGAGCGTGATTATGAAGTTAGTCCGCCACGAAGATTTACGTGAAAATCGCAGAAGATTCTTTCCTTTTATTTCAATAGGAATCTCGCTCTCTCTCTGTGCCGGGCAAAACTGTTTTAGTGAGTATTATTTCGATGCTAGCTAGCTCTACAGTTCATTTCATTGTAAAGAATTTGTTGAAAAGTCTCGAATTTGGTCATCAAAAGGTTTCAGTGTTGCTATTAAGGCTGAATTTGCATTGTAGAAAGGCATTTCTGCAGTCATATACCACCAAATACTATAAAAAAAGACCTAGAAGACAGTATGCTCTGTATTGCTTCAAAAAATTCAAAATCGGATATAAATAATAGTAAAGAGACTCGCATATAGTGCGAAAAGTGTGAAGTTGGATATTTGGAGCCGAACTTCAAAGTTCATTGCACACAAAAAGACTTTGCATACCAATAACAGGTGAATAAAAATGACAGTGCTAGATTTATTTCTAAGGTCAACATAAGTAACTTATAATTAAAATAAATAAATAATTTATAATTAAAATTTTTTGGTATGTATGTAATCTCTACATATAATAAAAGAAAGAGTCTGTCTGTCTTTTCGTTTGTGCTGCGCGTAAGCTAATAAACCCAGGACTACGAAATTTGGTATATAGGGGCATCTAAACAAGAGCCAAGTGCAACCCGAAGCTATATTTTCAAAATTCGAATCGGAATTTTTTTATTTTATCTTTTCGAATTTATCGCATCATTTTAAATAGTTTTATTCTTTTAGAAATGTGGTTTTGGCAACAGTTTTTCGTTCAATTGTATACTGGACTGCTGACTGTTGAAAATCGCCACTTGGAAAAATCAGGGCGATAATTCTGTGCATTTTTTAAATTTAATGTTTCTCTTGGATACTGGACGTTTGTTGAGAGAAGGCAACGGAAAGTTCGTTAATTTATTTATTTGGATAATTAATATTTTTATTAAGGGATATTGCTTATTTCATTGTAATTTTGTTATATGTAATGCACTTTTTATTTATTATTTTTTTATTTATTCTTATTTATTTATTTATTTATTTTTTGATGACGTTGATCTGCAGAGTAAAATTCTGCGCAGTTTTTAAATTTAACGTTTGATTGTTCCCTTCAGGGATTTTTTCGGTACATTTGAAAGCCAGACGAAGGCTGGCCGCGTAACTGCTAGTTTAATGTAAAGCAATACTGCCTCTTTTTACAGTTTATATACTTCATATTTATTCTATTGAAAGAGTTCTGTAAAAGGATTTGCAACAATTGGTTTAAAAATTAAATTCATCTTAAAAATAAAACTATCCTGTGCATTTTTTAACTTGATTATTATGCCTGCTGAAATCGTTTGTCATATATTATTACACATAATCTGGAATTGCAAAAAGCAATTAAAATTCTTATATTATTTAAAAGCTGTTGATAGAGTTGTGAATAGTAACAAATGCAGCCGAAGAAAATATAGAAAAATCATCTTGTGTTTCAGAACCAGAAAGTATGAAAATCCAGCCGAATGCGATGGGTTAAAATAATTGATGTCAGTTAAAGAAGTAAATAACAGTTTGCGTAGCAAAATGATGGAAAAACAGTTTCAGGGAACTGTAATACAGGTAATATTGAGTTATAAATAATTGCAAACTATATATATAAATGGCAGTGTTATTCTTAGACGATGTTATGTAGTATATTAGCTGGTAAGTGAAGTTGTGATGATATGGAATAATATTAGATGTTGTGATGGTATGGCATGAAATAAATCAAGAAACGCTAAAGGGATAAAAACCTTTAAATTAATTACATTTTCTGTAACACACGGCATTATGATTAGCAATTAAAGGTGCATTTTAATAAAACACCTGCAAGGAAGCAACATAAAAATTACTGATCTTAACAATAAAATCTGCTGAAAATATTGGATCTGAATTTTAAAAGCTGCTGCAGAATAATTGCTGCAGCTTTTAAAATATAAACCTAGCTTTGGTTTAAAATTTTTTGCATAATTAAAACAATTATAATTTCACTTTAAAATTCTGTATCTTGAAATATCACATGATTTTGTTTCGCTTTGATTTATCTAAATCATGTAAGTTTGCTTTTCTTGAAGAACTAACAAATGGTAAAATATAACTTCAGTTGAATAAAAAATATTTTTAAGCATTTTAATTTTGGATATTTGAATAATATTTTTAAAATCTTTATAATATTTATTAATTGAAACATTTTTGCTAGTATGTCGTTTAAAAAATAAAAACAGTATTTAAAAAAAAATTACCTCCATGCTTTGTTGCGCATGCAAAAATAAGCCATCCGATGCCTAATGCCCATACATTTCTATGCATGACTGCATAGAAAGCTGACAGAGAAAGATCCATTTTATCACCGTGCCTGTAACTGTACAGACCAAACATCACAGCAGAATTACAAGCAATAGAAGAACACCACAAAATTACAGTTGTTGTCTGGAAAAGATTAAATAGAATAATTAAGAATTATGCACTCAAACATAAAGTATTTTACTTAAAATGCTAAAAATTTAATATTTAATATTAATATTAAAATTATAATATTCTGTTTTCGATTAATTTAAATAGAAAATCGTGTATTTTAAAAGCCCCAATGATTTTCGTCAATAAAATTAATAAGAGAACAAATTAAATATTGAAAGTAAGTATGTCTGACATTTGATGCCATGCCTTCGGTAAACAGATGGAAAACAGAATTATGAAATCAACTATTAGAAAACTAAAATATAAAGTTTATATTAGGTAAAGTTATTTATTAAAAATAGTGTCCTATTATCGTTATCTAGAAAATATTTTTGTGAGCAAGAAAAACTTCAAGAATTCTAAATCACGATTTGTGAGAATTTTGGTAAAACAAATTATGTGTATAAAGAGGCCGACAATGATAGGTGATGATGGATAAACACACTTTTTTCTAGAATATGCTTTATAATTAATTGTAGAGCGAATTTTATATGTATAGTGTAACAGTAGATATAGTTATATATTTTGTTAATAGATGGCAGTAGTAGTAGTGCAGTCTTCATTGCTTGAGGGAAATCATATTTGCAATCATGTTTTGTCCGCAATTATAATGTTCTCCGTTACATTTTTATGTCCAATAAAAACACGTTTAAAAAAAGAGAGTATTAATTATTAATTTCTTGCTGTCAGTACAAGAGGTAGATTCTAGATTGCGATACAGCCAATGAAATTTTTTCTCGGCATTAGACCTCGCCCATATTTTTTCGCCTCGGTCATTTGAATTATTCGTCATTACATAATAAATGTAACATCGTAACAAGCAGTCACGTAAATAATATCATGACTCTATAATAAGTTAAACGGCGTCCTTTGAAATTAATTATAACAGTTTTGTTATCACGCGCACTAGAAAATTTTATATGGTTATTCACTTATTAAACATCCTCCATGTTATATTTTCTCCTATTAAACAAAATTCATCTTAAAAGGAATTGCTTCAATTTAAAAGAGGAAATTTACTACATTTCTTCCCAAAGTGGTTTGTTGTGCGGTGTTTGATCTAAATATGCTGTAAATTTACTTAAAATACAAGTTGAAAACAGTTCCCGTTTAATATTATATTTGAAAACTCAAAATACTAAGCAAAAATTCTATTATATGATTGCGAAACTGTGTGAACATTATTACACAGAATCAAGTAGAAATAATTACATAGAATCAAATTAAGAATTGCATAGGATTAAATTCATCATACTAAGCTATATATTATTTTAAGCACCGGCGGATGTTTTCGACATAATATTAAATAGAAATAATTTATTCATAATAATACAGATTATAATATCCAAATCAGAAAGGGATACGTAGTTAATTATTTATTATAATTATGAATAATGTATTGCAATGAATTTTTCAGCTTTCTTGGTAGACTTTTTATGGGTAAAAAAAAGGTTCGTATTCACGTTATAGGTGTGAAAAACCGCAAAAGCACCCTTCCCAACCTGGCCATTTATAACTAATTAATTAATTATTCTCATACTATTCTTTAATTTAATTATTGCATTCACTTATGTTTCAGTTTTTTAAAAAAATTATTTTATTTCCCATGAATATTTTCGCACATAAAATACTATTTCGCTATTTTTCACAATTCATCGTTTGCTGAATAATGATGTAGATATTTTTTCAGTTCCTTAAGTTTTTATACTGTGTTTTTGATAGCATTTGTGTCTTTAAATAACATCTGAACCTCCCCCTTCATAATAATTCAATTACATTTATGCATTTAAACCATTAACTTCATCCACGCTATCATATATATATTTAACTGAAATAAAAATTAAATAGTAAATTTCTACTATAGTTAAGAACTCCTTTTATCCTCAGTTTTTTTTTTTTTTAGTAAAATTCAAAATTTTCTGCATTTAAAATTTTTAAGCCATTTTAAATGCTAGTGCAATCATTAACCAAAATATTCAGATTAAGATTTCTAAAAGACAAATCTCAACTATTTCTACCATGAAATCTTACATAACAAATAACTTGAAGCAAAAAATAACAACTTCTTTGCAATTTTATTTAACATAATCTTAAACAACAGCAGCTGTCGTATTTATTAAGTAGATACATTTACAAATTAAAATTATTTTAATTTTAAAGCATTGTTAGGCTTTTCGATAATGCTATAGAAAAACACAGTGCAGGATTTAGTACGAAACTGTTATTTAAATATAAGTTACAATATCTATAACACACTTTAAGAATAATTTTAATAAATGGCTGCATAAGTTTTAATACCTAATCAATGTATTAAAAAAGAATTAATTTTTAAAGTTTCTAAAGCATTTATGTGTAAGATCCGGGTAAAAAGCATAAAATTTTCTAAGTATGCAAAATTAAAACGTATCAGAATTAAACAGAAAACTTAATATGAAAAATTGCACAGCACTTTAATACGTTTCTTATACAAGCGCATCCACACAGATTTATACTAATTACATATGTCATCAATGGTCAAACTATTTTGTAGTTATAGTGCAAACTTGAAATTGGCTATACGGATGTAAAAAAAGCTTTATTCTAAGGTGTAGGTTAATAAATAAAATGTGAATAAAGTTTATGAGCAACAAAACTCTTTACTTAAAAACACTTGCGCTAGCTTTCGCCAAATAAGATATTTTGTCAAATGTGATAATTTTGCCTTGAATAAATTATTTTGCCTGATGGCTATGATTTTCAATAGCGAGTAAAAAATTTCTCATTCATAAAAATTCGTCGTAAATCTCAGCCGCATTAAACGTGTCCGCTAATTTAAAACTACAGTTATATGCATAATGAATTTTTATTTTTCTACCTTGATTTAAATGAAATTTCAGGCAATATTTTGGATTTATAAGACTTACTGTAAACATTAGATAGGACTGTAAACATTAGATAGGAATATTAATGTATTTTAGTTCAACGTTTTGTTCACTACAGATAAAAGCTCGAAATGAAATGAAAATGTAAGTGACGTGTAAATTATTTAAGGCTTTGTCATCAGACGGAGAACAATTACTAGCATTAATTTCTATGTAAAGTTAATTAATGCAGAAATCTGTAAATTTATCTTCAATCCATACATGACTGGAGATTGATATTATAATATTCTGTATTTTTGAGAAAATCAGAAGTCATGTGTTAACACAATTCACCTCAGGTTGGCAATACAGACATCATTTTTACAATAGTGCGGGCTACAAGAAAAACAAATGGTATTTCCATACTTAATGAGGCATTTAAAAAGTACGTAAATACATAAAATCTTACCTAGTATTGTAGTTCTTTGCAAAATAGAAGGAACACAAAGAATCCAGGAAGTAAATAAATACCTATTTTTCTTTTACCGATATCAAGTGTATTTTTTCCTGCAACTAGCTTTGCAGATGTATGTAGACATGTTGCTCTCACTAGTGATTTTCAGAAGTCAAATGAACGTTTATTAATTTGTACCGGATTGAAGATTCGTTCCTTTTCATGAGTGAAAAAAAAAACAGACATAGAAATGACGTAGGATGCAAATTTACATCTTTCTAGGAACCACACAAGCAGGCGTTTTTCAAGTCCACAAATACCTACTTCACTAAAATTTTGCTTTATTGCTGGGTCACACTGAAGTTCTGTTAATTTCGTTTATTTCGTTAACAATTTGCCAATGTCAGAAATACTTTTGTAAAGAGACCATCTCAAGAGCTCTTTTCAGAAACCAAGTTTTGTTTATATGCTTCGATAAAGGAATTTGAATTTTTATCACTATACTGCATTCTAATTTAGTGGAACGGTAGCTTTTAGTAATACTGTATTACTATATACTTTTTGTTATTTTCTCAGGGAAGTAAAGAGCCGCATGAGACCGGCAGGCTGCGGGTAGTATGCCTGTATTTATGTAAAGCTAAATGAAGTACTTCTAATGAAAATAATAATTATTTGCAATAAAACACAAAAGAGGAAAGCAAAATGAGCTAATGCAATATAAGAATGATAATTAAAATTGTATATTTAAACAGAAAGTATTTAAAAGGAGTTCGAAATGCTCTGCAGTATCTTACCCGACTGATTTCGAGTTGATCTTTCTTCAAAGCAAGAAAATATCCAGCTAAAAGGCCTATGCAGAATGGACCCATATGGTCGTATGGTAACGTATAAACATCCCTCCATGTAATGGGTGCAGTTCTGTTAAAAATATAAAAATAAGTACAATAAAATAAAAAGCTGAAATCTGTAATATTTTATATTACACCCAAAGGCAAGTTTTTTTCTATTTACACACACACACACGTTTCGAGAGTATTTGGGTTCAAGCCCCTTAATTTAAATAAAAATAGTAGATTACCTGAAATCCAACATAAAGAACGCCATACTTCCTGGCAATTCATTAATGACTGTAATAACAGCGACACCAATTATACCAGCCAAGATGATTGCAAGCATACAGAAGATTCCATATCTGGCTGATCTATGAAAAAACATAATTAAACACAAATGTTAAGCAATGAGTGAGATAAAATAAGAGATTTTTCAATAAGTTTGAAAATAAATATTTTAATAATAAACATATATATTTTCTAAGATCTCTTACTTTTTAAGTATCCATATTATTACAACAGAGAGAAGAGTTTGTTGCATGATAACAGCCAATATCCATGTGTGGTATAGGCACTAGAAGAATGTAGAAATCATATATTAAATTAATCCGTTAACATCGTTATTTCAAACAATAAAAATTGATGAAAATAATCAAAATTATACATTAAGAAATTGCTTTTTTTTTTTTTTTTTTTTTTTTTTTTTTTTTTTACCTTTTTATAAAATTTGTATAATTAAAAAATCTGAAAGATTTCAGATTTTAACGGTCGCCCCTAAGGTATTGTTAAAGTTTTTACGATCTTTCTGAGTTCACAGTCTACAAATCTGCTACTGCATTCAACTTCTGCTAACCAATTTTTTTTATAGTTTTAGCTTTATTATAAAGCACCGTTTTCTACGCACTTACAATATATATAATTCAGCAGCAAAATCACAAAAATTTAAAAGCAGTATAACAGCTATGTTTAGAATTCCCAGTGCAATGCAGTATTAAGTGTTGACATACATATTTCTATACTTTTCAGTACTTTCTGAGTTTGCATCATATAAATGTTCAGTTTTCTTAGTAAGAGGGCTTGCAAAGCATTTTTTTTTTGTGTGTGTTTTTGTCATTAACGTTTTGTGTGTTAAATTTATTGATTAAATATCATGTTTTTCGCACTTACGCCACATCAAATTCAATTCAACAGCAGTATCGCAAAATATTTAAATACAGCCTGTCTTCAGAATTTCCGACAGACAGTCTGGCGAGCTTTAGAATTTGGATGTACAATTGGCATTTAACTCATTAAGCTTTAACCAGTGTTGTTTAACCAACGGTGGCAGATAATTAGTGTTTAAACTTCCAAGTACGTCGCCGATAAGATGAAAAAAAAAATAAATTGGCGAACCATGTGCTACCATCTAATGGCACAAAGAAGGGCTGTTGGTTTCGATTCCATTTGTTGCTGCTGTCGAGCAGGTAAGGTAGCAATAGGCACTTATTCTTCTCCTGCAAAATCTATGATTATATACGCTTTCAAAAATAAATTCATAATATCAACCAGTTACTTGACCTTCCTTATTTCTTTAGCAGGGTGAGGATTTCCTTCTGACAGTCGTGAAATTCATGATTAGTTCATTGGTTGTACATTTTCATCAACTTGTGTTGCTTCTGATATGCTATTCCTAAGCATATCACTACAATTCCTTCAGGTATTCCTGGTTAGGATTTATCTCTTTAGAATTCTTCGTCAGCGCGGGAAAATTTTCGTCTGTCATTCGAGTATGTTTATCTGCTTCTTCCTGTTTTGCACATAAATGATTCAGAATTTCCTTTAAAAAGAGTTATAATCCAGTTGCTTATCACTTCAATGTTCACTTTTAGAATATATTAAAGTTTTTTTATCCCCAAACGGGCTGTTAGTCTCGAAATGAAATTTTGCTTCGAATCCTTATAAATGCGTCGTTTCACTTTTCATTTCAGTCTTTTGCCAATCAGCAAAGTATAAGATATTTATCTTTCAAATTGAATTTGACTGTTGTGGATTAACAAACTAAGTTATTTGAAAGTACAGGATACAGTTTTTAAGAATATTCGTTTCTTACTTTTGAATCCGATTGATTTAAATAAAAGTGCATTGGATTCAAGATCTATATAATTAAAAATAGTCAGTATTTCCACAGAATAAAGCTATTTTTTTATTTCATAGTTTGTAAAACGTGAGTAAATTTTTAATAACAAACTCAAATGTCTGAAAGCGAGCAGTAACGACTCTGTACGGAAAAATCATTATCTCCACCACATGAGACAAAAACCTTCAAAACAGGAAGAAGCAGATAAACAGACTCGAATGACAGATGAAAATTTTCCCGCTGACGAAGAATTCTAAAGAGGTAAATCCTAACCAGGAATACCTGAAGGAATTGTAGTGATATACTTAGGAATAGCATATCAGAAGCAACACAAGTTGATGAAAATGTACAACCAACGAACTAATCATGGATTTCACGACTGTCAGAGGGAAATCCTCACCCTGCTAAAGAACTAAGGAAGGTCAAGTCACTGGTTGATATTATGAATTTATTTTTGAAAGCGTATATAATCATAGAATTTGCAGGAGAAGAATAAGTGCCTATTGCTACCTTACCTGCTCGACAGCAGCAACAAATTGAGTTGAATTTTACCGTTACTTAAATTTTCCAGCGTTTGGTAGATATTCATTCACATTTCAAAAACAAGTATCACTTAATGGTGAAATAATTAGCAGCGCTTACTTAAATACGTCGGTTTAAATTTTGTCGGTTATATAAATAAGAATTTCTGTATAAAAGAGGTATTTTAATTGATATGAGGTTTATTAACCAATGTGTTGTAATTTTTACTTTTCGCATTTTGGGTTTTATTATTCAAACATTCATAATCCTCCTTTTCATAATGAAATATTTTATGCTTCTGATGTAATTTTCTTTTAGTATTTCATTTTTTACCTGAGTATTTTTATCATTTTTGAAAGCGTACTTTGTGCTATTCTGATTAGAATATTTTAATATAATTCTGTTTAATATATTGCTGTTTGGTATATTTTAATCTTTCCCAGTAATCACATCATAGCCCTGCAAACCAGCTAACACGTTTTACTGTGACTATACTCTTTCTTTCATTCCCCTCTAACTACAGTCACCACGGTTAAGTTAAACAGAAACTAAATTGTGTTCCAATAATTAAGCCATGCCTCGAACAAAAGTGGTAAGCGGTAGAAAGTTTAAACTGAATTAACTATAGAGGTCTCCGCTGGTGTGAAGACTAAATGGGTTTCTTATTGGCTATTACTTTTTGCGTCAGTTCGTGACTGCTCTAATATGAATCCAACTTAAACATTCCTTAGGCATTTTGGAGAAGAACATGTCAAAAATAATTTGCGTTTTTGCCGGGATTCGGACCACGGGTTTTTTAATTGGCATTCAACATATACCTCAAAAACTGATAATTCAGAATCCATTCAATACGTAAAACGAACTTGGCATTTTCATGTGTGTTAAATGGTAAATCTGATTGACCAATATATTACTTTGCGTCTGAAGAAGAGCAGTATTTGTACCAATACAATTCTGTTTTACCAACTATTTCGATTTTAGTACAACCTAGCCTCGAGTAAACATTATGAACTATCTTCATGAAAAAATTTACAGCTTCTGTCATTTAGAGCATCGCAGAATTAAATTTAGCTGTGCACTTTCTAATGTAACTGTCAAGCTTATTAAATTGTGTTGTTGAATTTTTTATACTTTCACGAAATATTAAAAGAATCTAATTATACTTACGACATCTACTGACTGGAAAAAGTTATTTATGTACAGTATATTTAGCCACCATCTTTCTCTACAATTTTTCAACATCGGATTCATGTAAGCTTCCCAAAACGGTCCAGATCCAAAGACAGGAAACGTGAGGAAAACACATATTGTAAGAAGCTGCGCTGCAGACATTCTAAAATAAAGTTGAATAACGAAAATAATTACAAAAAATGGCAGTTTTATAAATTCAACATTAAAAACTGCGAAATGTATTCAAGAGAATATCCTGTATCCACTGTTTAGGAAAAATTATATTATATGTAACACGCTGACAATTTTTTAAATAATTTTTTAAATAAATAATTAGGCCATTTAGTTTTCTTAATTAAATGCTTAGGGATTAAATTTATCATCTGCCACTTATTTAATATTCAAATGATTTAAAAAATAGTTACAAACAATTTTGTTTTCCAATTACCTGCAGTAACGATGCAAAAGTAACTTGCAGATGTTCAAATTCACTTTACTTTTCTCTGTCAGGTATCTCCAACGAGTGTAAGTTATCGTAATTCCCCTGGAATATAAATTTTAAATTTTATAAATAGAAATGAAACATAATTGTTAACTTTTATGAAAACGAAATAATTGGAATAAAATCAAAAAACGTTCGAAGCAATGCTAATCGAGGTTTCGACAATTTTCTTGGTACACTATCACTTTTAAAAACCAATTTAACATGTGTGAAGTCATCATCCTACTATACGTTTGTTTTATTAAAGTTTTCTTTTGTATAGTAAACTATAAATTATAGCAGAAACAAGCCGTTTTATAATGCGCGTTTAAATTAATTAAAAAATTAAATATATTTTTATAAATAATCATTTGAAAAAATTTTAAAATATAGTTTTTTAAATAATCATTTGAAATTGTTTTAAATAATCATTTTGAACATACTTTTTTATAGCGATGGTTTTCTTGCTTTCTTCTAGAGTTCTGCAGTCATCTCAGCTCCAAAATATTAGTGAATAATATTCCTCTGATGCAAATCAGGGTATAAAATTGCTACATCCATGGTAACTTGCTTGAGAAATGAAGTTTAGATGCTCTGCTTATTTGAGTCGTAAGTACTTACGACAGTTTTTAATTGTATTTTATACACTATGAGAAAAATATTTTATTGTACTCACACGATTGCTTTCGGCAACAAGAACGGTGTTAATCGTAGTGATATAGTTGAAATTCTGCTGTAGGTAAAAATCTCTTAAAATCTCAAATTTTGTTTGAAAATAGATATTTTCCTTTGTTCCCAGATGTTATAGTGCAGTATGCATAATAATTCAAAAATTAATTTATACTAATATTTTTTGCATCTTACTATTGGTTGATTTACTTTATGCGATAAAAATTGAAATGTGATGCATATAAATTTAATCAATAAAATATTAAATTGTAATTCCAACAGGGCAAAAGAACCTTCTATAAGATTTGCGTATTTAAGAAATTTTCTGAGTTTAATCATAAGTATTGATTCATGCACATTTTTTAAATAGTAATAATGCTGGCACGAGATTTTAAGATAAGCAAATCTTATCTTGTACTTAGTTACTTTAAAACAGGCATTTCAAGGTCGTAATGGCCCTTCCTTCATTTAGGATAGCAGTATCATCACACACAGATAGACTTAAGGGATTTTAGCAAAAGACGCAGTTCTCTACCGTGTTTACAAGATAAGTCAGAAGTGAGAAAAATTGCCTTGAAGTGTCTATTCTGGAGAAACAGACTGCAATTAAACATTTAAATTAATATTGTAATTTTTACAGCTTTTAATCACAATCCTGTCATTTAATGCAAAGGTATATTATTAATGAATAATATGAAACAAAGGTTAAGTTATCCATCTTTAGGAACCTACCGTAGATATACATTCAAAGATAAATTCAAATCAACAAAGTATCAGGAAAATCATTTGTTCTACAAAGTAAGTATAGTCAAAAGCAGAAATTTCTCTCTGCTATTACAACTTGCACCTGTGTTTTATTTATGAATTCTCATCATGTGCTTGTAATTTATTAAATAAATGCGTCTGTTTATACTTATTTATAGTTTTATTCTCTTTTTTTTAGCAGAAGACTGGATTATTTTATTTATGAATTCTCATCATGTGCTTGTAATTTATTAAATAAATGCGTCTGTTTATACTTATTTATAGTTTTATTCTCTTTTTTTTAGCAGAAGACTGGATTATTTTATTTATGAATTCTCATCATGTGCTTGTAATTTATTAAATAAATGCGTCTGTTTATACTTATTTATAGTTTTATTCTCTTTTTTTTAGCAGAAGACTGGATTATTTTATTTATGAATTCTCATCATGTGCTTGTAATTTATTAAATAAATGCGTCTGTTTATACTTATTTATAGTTTTATTCTCTTTTTTTTAGCAGAAGACTGGATTATTTTCCGCATCAAATTGCTAAGGTAGTACAAGATAAGCAAATAGTGAGAAAAGATGCCTTGAAGTACTTATTCTGGAGTAACAAATTACAGAAAAATATTTTAAATTATTATTTTAAATTTTACAGCTTTTATCACAGTTCTGTCATTTAATGTAAAAACAGCCATTTTATTAACGAATAATATAAAACAAAGATTACGCTATTTATCTTCATGAATCTACCATAAACATACATTTAAAGATAAATTCAGATCAAGAAAGTCTCATGAAATATTATTATTTGTAACTAATCAGTTATTATGGTTTAGATCTTTACTATAACTTCTCCTTTCCGTTTCTTCACAAGAATGTGAATTGAAGTAGAGAGTTTTTGAGCTAAAGTTTTTTTAGATTGTACGACAGAGCTTATTTCTGCCTCTCAAGGCCACTTTACATTAGTTCTGCCATCTCTGATAAGTTTGTAATTATTCGGCTTTGCGTTGTTCCCTGCCGACATTTATATTGTTACGCCGATTAGAGTTTCCTGAGCCAGCATAGAATTAAATATAAGTAGTCTCATGTAGAATAATGTAGTCTCTGACTATTACTCCACGTTTTAAACTTGAATTTAACTTTTACTTTAATTTCAGCTTCCCAAGTTGTGGTTAATTTTGTTTAGCCATGCACTTACGTTCGAGTTATGTTTTAATAGAAGTGTTGTTTTAAACCTTTTCAAGTCTTGGTAGTTACTTCAGGCACAACAATAATGTGCTCTACGTTTGTTAAGAGTTTGGGTCTAGTCTATGCTCCCAAAGCTAGTCAAACTGCAATGATAGATAAAGGAAAATGTTAAATTATCCACAAAAAAAAAAAAAAAAAAAAAAAAAAAAAAAAAAACACTATTACAATAAGGGAAAAATGAAGCCAAATTCTTAAACTTTTTTATTCTTTTTATGGATTACATCACATTTTATTTTACATTATTCTTTTTATGGATATATTACATTTTATTTTAAACCACCTGAAATCGCTATTTGACTTGAATTTCATTATTGAGCATAACATGGTATATTATATATAGGGCTTTTTGTTCATAATATAGTGTTAATCGTTTTCATCTCGTTTACATTGAAAACTTTTGGACACAAATCTTTGCTAAAACTATAATGCAAAACTTAGGTCTCTAATAATATTGTAAGAAATGAAGTTCACCAAAATAACACAGTATAAAGAATATTTTTACTTACGCTACAAAAGCTACGGTGTCCATGCCTACAGAACCATTCGCTATTCCTGAGAAAGTGAAACTGTCGAAGAATTTCAGGAAATTAGCAGCTTTGCCTGAAAAATATATAACTATTTAGTTAAAACCTGTTTTATTTTAAAAATATTGTGTTTACTTTTTTGTCTTAGATTTAAGGATTTTCCTTAATTTCGCATTATGAACTTGATGGGAAAATATTGGTTACATGATCAGCTGTAGTCGGATTAAGCCATATTGGGAAAATATAGAAAATTCTGTAAAAAACTTTGATTAGGACTATTTCATATGACAAACGGACTTCAGGAACAATCAAAAGCATGAACCGATGTTTCATTGTAGATCGCTTGTGACTCAAAAGCTGTAGCTATAAGTTTAATTGTAAAATATATGCAAAATATAGCATGCATACTTTAGAAGATTGCGATAAATTCGACATAACTGCAACACTGTAAAATCGGAATTTTGTTAAACACAACGATATTTATCACAAATCAAAATTCTCTAAATAATATCTAATAACTTTTAAATCTTATAACATGAAATAATATTCTGGTATCTTATTATATTAGTAGAATATCGCTAAAATTAGTACATGATTTCATATTTTGTTTTTCAATAAATATCCAGCACTGGCATAATAAAGAGGTCACCGATGAAAATCCTTACATTTTATGAACCAAAATTTTTTCTCAGATATTTGTTAGACGTAATATTTTATGTTTCTGTTTGTCTATTTTTATTGCTTGTTTCTGTTTGTCTATTTTTATTGCTGTTGTTTGTTATAAATTAATATAAACGCGTATTTCGCTGAAATGTAATTTTTTTTAATAATACGTACAAAAAAGCACATTTCTAGAAAATATGACTTGTAGTTAATTTACTGTGTTATAAAAAATAATTACGTTTTATACAATTAGCTTATTGCACTGATTAGAACTGAGTTAGTTTGAATTAATACTAGATCAAGCAAAATATTTATGTAAAATTTTAAATAACATATAACATTAAAATTAAAATAAAAGAGGTAAAGAATAAGCTCTCATTCAGTCTAGTAGCACCCCCGCATCCACAGGATTCTAAGATGTACCACGGACAACAATGAAAACTATATAGATTAGTATAGTCATGAAACATATAAATTCGGTGTGGTCTGATTTATAAATCTTGCACAGTAAAGCATCAATAATAATAAATAATAATAAAACATATTGTAAGTTACACATATTCTATAGAGTATAATATATTTTACTACTACACCACTTTATATACTGTATTGTTAACACAGTAATGCAAAATTAACTCACTAAAATGTTTCTAAAAATGTGTAAAAAAATGTGCATATGAGAGTTAAAATGTCGCTAATAAGAATACGGAGTTTGTTAAAAATTGAGCTGAGAGAAATTTAACCAACAGATCTATGTAACTGGAAAAGGAGAAGGGGCTGGACACCAAAAGATCAGTTAAAAAAAGCACAGTTCTGAGGATGGACCTTGTAACCTGAAAATCTACATTTGATTCCTATAACGATCATTTTCATCCCCTCTCCTTTTTATTTAAATCCGTCAAGAAAGTTAATGCACGCAGATAATTGTGGGAGTGCTTGGCTTGTTTTAGTGGCTATGACGCCGGATATTGCTGAATCCTTAGATACAGGTATATATGGCTATATTAGCAACTTGCAGTAAAATATGAGACTCAGTAACTTTAATAACTTCGCATTGAAAGAGAAAAATCCTACTGAATTTCTGGAAATGCAGTAAATGGAGGTGTCCATAGGTGTGGCTGTAGATAGTGAGCATTACAGTAATAGTTCGAATTCCGCACAGGCATTTTATAGGTTCATGAACTTTCTTAGTGCTCAGGACTTCCAAGGAATTAGTGTAGAGTGAAGCACTTCTTATCATCTGAACATAGTAATCTGAAAGAAAAAAGTGCATTCATTGTAATAATTTAGGGAAGCAAGTAGTAAATAAAAAAAATTAAATTAACGCTAATGTTTATGAAATCGCTACTTCATAATAATATGCATTTTAAAATATATGTGTATAAGAAAAATAATTGAAAAAATGTATACTTAATCGGTGGAAGAATTATTGCTCCCAATGTTGTTTACTCTTAAACTGAAAGATTTATTACATGGCGGGTTGCTTTTACGTCCTGAGATTCACATAAAACTTAGCTCTCAAAGCTTTGCTAAGTATATTCTTATATTCAGTACATTTTGCTTAAAAATTAAAAAACTATGAGTTGATGAATATTTTGTCTATTTTCGTATAAAATCAGTATAGATTAATAATGTGAAGTTGAGGAGGTTAAGTAAATAATATATAATATTAAAAGCATAATGATGTCAACCTTTATTGACTTATCTCTAAGTACGATGGAACCGTGCATTTATTTTGTAAAAAGGTGTTATAGGTATGATACACATGTCTTACTCAATTTATCTAAAGGAAGTTGACATTTATTCGTAATATACTTGCGGAAAAACAATCGTTGGTTAGTTCCGATTTAAGGACTGCAAAAGTATTAAATAGCCTTCCAGTTTTTCTATAATAAAATAATTCTAATTAATTTTGTTATTATCATGTGATATTATTATTGCGATGAAAACAACTGATTCTTTGTTCCGCAAACCTAAAAAATTAGTATTTCCACAACAGGATTTTGATTTTGCTAATTTCACATCGTCTTTATCTCATAAAGTTTGAAAATTGGCGTCTGCCGAAAATTTCCTTTTAAAGTTCATTTCTGTATTTTGTTAATGCAGTTCAATACGTGTCCTTAAAACATATCATGTTAAGAATTAATACTATTTTCTTCCGAAAGTATTGGATGGTATTTAATTAAAAAAATAATAGCTTTTTGGACTTTGCATATCTGCCTTACCTATTTCAATAAATCTATAGAAAGCTCTAAGGAAGTATGCCTAACTATTTTAGATTCTGTGCTAACGAGATGTACGTAGCACAACTCCAGCGATTTATGAGATTATATCACATGGTGGATCGATAGATCTAAATTTCAGTTCTACTGCATAGTAGGCATAGTAAAGATGTCTACACCACACTGGAATTTGCTAGAATATTTAAAGCAACTTGAATGCCTAATGAAAATGTAGTATTCAATTACGAGGAACGGAATTGTAACATCTATGGCCTCTTCCAGACAGAGGATACGTAGACAGCCGCCTGAGGCAAGGAGTTTCGTAGGGTATCAGCTAAGTTTTTACAAAAGATATAAATACGCCTTATCTACAATTTGTACGAAGCGACAACTATATCGAGCCCACCAGTGGCCGAGCGGTAAAGTCGCTGAACACTGGGATTTTGGTCCGACGTTCCAAATCGGCATACTGGGCTGGCTGCATGGGCGTTTTCGTAGTTTTCCCCATGTGTAATATGAATACGAGTTAATTTCCCTTATAACGTCCTCCAGAAGGCATCCTTCCTCTCAGCAGATAGCCCTTGAGGCTTTGTCATAATTACATAAACCAAACCAAACTAACCCAACCAACTGTACTCATGGCCTAGAGTTCGGAAAATGTTGAAACTATTCATCCTAACGCTTTCAAAAATCTTGCTTTGAACGAATGCTGGAATGTTAACTAACATACTCATTAAGTGGTGAGTTAAGATTCGAGCAAAGTTTTTAATATTAATAACATGATAATCCTGTAAATTGATTACAAAATATTGTAGCAAAAGTTAGCTACGAAGTTATATTTAAATAATTAATTTTTCTAGGAACGCTTTTACATAATATTATAGCTTGGTGTTCCTAATTTTTTATCGTTGCTTTTGTTCCCAAACCCAATAGGTACACCTCGAAAAACGCATTAGTAAACCGTTTGATGAGCGAAATTTATTAATTTTTTATTTTGTATAATTAATAGAAGAATAATTTGAAGTATTAAATTATAATTTATAAAGATCTACTAAAACTATATAAAAGTAATATTTCTAAAGTGTTAAATTTATTGAACAGCTTTAAGTTGAATTTATCATTTTATGTAATGTTAATTATGCTTGAAAACGTAATTACGTTTTTCTACGAATGTTTGATAAAAATCTGTGTAAGTATAAACATTCTGAGTACGCATTCATTATTCACTTCTAACTTTAATGAAAATGTTGTGGTTCAAAATATGTTTTGCAACAAAATCATGAAGATTTATATTAAATTTACCACATGGTATAATCAAACATTTGAACTGAAGAAAATATATTTTATAAATTATTAATTTGAATTTCATTCTAAATGAGAGATCGTCATATTTGCAACTTTTTTTCTCTCGTTTCTGTTGGCTCTGGACACTTGAATTGAAATGGAAATGTTGTTAACCTTAACTCTTCTCAACGAAACGTGTAAGCGATAAGCAAGAGCATAGATCATAACTAACAGACCTTGCCAAATGATATATTTTCTTTGCTAACCAGTAAAGAATAACTAACAGACCTTGGTAAAGGAATTTTTATCCTGTTAACCAGTATCACTTTCAGGATTCAACATGATTAAGCATCTTGTTTCCAGAGGAAAACAAGTTCTTTGACATTCAATTTAGCCTTTTCTTGAACTCTGAGCTGGTTGTAAAAAGTAAGAATATTAAGTATGTCTAGCTGCCTTAACCTGAGGCTAGATATAAGGTTTCCTCAATATTCTTAGTAGTGTTTGCTGCAATTTTGAAGAATTAAAGCAAGAATCAATAATCTTTTAAAGCTACTGTGCTTCTTTTTTCTTTAATTGCTTGTACAGTAAACCAACAGAAAATCAATAGTGCACCACTCTTATTTAAATTTCAATATAAACCAATGAAAGAAAACATACTGTATATGATTCTTAAGGGTCATATTATATTTCTGTATTTGGATATTTAAAAATAATTTGGAACTCAATTATTTGATTCTGAATAAAAGACATTTTTTACTGCATGAAATATTGAGAAATAAGGCTGTAAACATTAGGAATTAATGCTGTCTCATTAATTATAAGGTATTTCTCCAGCCTTCTTCGCATGCCTTCGTTGTGTGCTGCACGTTGGACGCGTATTTCAGAGGTCGTGGTTCGATTCCCGGCGAAGGTGTTGCTATTTTTCATTTTCCTGCTTAAAAAAAAATGTCTCTACATAATTATCTCTAAATATTTACAAACACCAAATGCTCTAATGAGAAGTATTTCTAGGCAATTACGATTAAAGCATTTAGTAGCAAACTCGAGCGGAAAGATTTCCGTTTAATGTTAAATTATTAGAAAGACAAATTTTGTATTAGACTTTGCTATAAACAATACGGTATGGATAAATCTTATTAATTAAAGTTCTGAAACTTCTGAAATTTTAAATGTTTGCCTTCCTCTCCCATTACCTTTTGATTCAAGGTCACGTAATTGTGATGTATATGTAAAGTGATGCCACAATAACTGTTCACGCTTTAGACTCTGCTTAAATAAAACATTAATGACATTCATGATTATATATCTAATGCAGGAATAAAGATGTTTTTAATATTTGAGTAAAATGCCGTACAATGCCGTATTATTATTTTCTCGAAGCAAAATTCTAAATTTTGAAAATTAAAAAGTCGATAATAAAAAATCCCATCGAAGAAAAAAAAGCTTCTGAGCATTTAATCTGTGTTAAAAATGTAAAGTTCCAAAACAGAGGAACTCAAACTATGGGTTTACAGTGGGGCATAAGGTGGATAAAAATCGTAAACATTTGAACTGATGTTATTTGACTTAACAGTCGCTGCTCTGACTGGTGTCCCGAAATTGTTTTTGTGATCGTCTGGATGCCACTGGCATAAAGTTTGAATGCCACTATTCTATAGAATCATAAAATAATCGCGAGTGGTACTGCTGTCACAATTTTAAATAAAGCAGATTTCTTATTTTATAGACTTTTAAACATATGGCATTCAGTGTAGAAACGAATATTAAATCATATGTAAGGGAATGGATTTTTGACAACTATCTGGCTAGTGAAGTTACTGTATGGTTTTCAAACAAAGAATTTTTCTTCGTTTCCGGTTGAAATAAATGTTCTTTATACACCTTACTCTCCCCACCTATTAAAATGGTAGGTTCAAAGTAGAAAGGCTGAAACGGTACGATTTTTGATGTTCTCAACCAGATCACCTGTAGAAGGGAACGCCTGAAATGGCAAGATATTTGTTGTATCTTCAGTAAACCCGAATCAGAAAAGTTCTAAATAGGACATTACGTAATAAATAATCCAGAAGAAAGTTACGGTTAAGTCGTTATAATTTGAATTTATTTAATTGCGATTTTACTTGGAGAAACTGTGAAGTAAGCATGTTTTTTCAGGTTTTAATTTATGAATCATTTTGGAATTTTCATAATTGTTGTTTGATGGCAAGATAATGTAAATCATATGTATTTTTAATTTTGCAAAGCCGAAAAGTGTTACGAAAGAAATCAATGGGTTATATTTAAAAATTCTATGAATTTACTTAATTTTCTTTGTTTTATGAATTGGCATCTCACAAAAGGTTGATAATGTTTAAGATTTAGTATTAAATTTTATGTATGTATATAATGATTTTTTTCTTATATGTATCATTTTATGCATATATATTTACGTATACTTCATTTTAAGTATATATCATTTAATGCATGTGTGTTTTATACATCATGTATTGCGAAGTAAATAAAAATTCATAAATGTATAAAAATGAATACAAATGAAATTATGCGATACCTCGGGTAAACTTTTTTTCTTTGTGTATATGCTATTCACGGAAACATACTCACTGTTATGACATGGAGCAGCTTTTGATTGGCTGTCATCATGCCTCAGCCGCATCACAATGTCAACCACTGTTCCAATTATCATAACTGCAAGAACAAGACCCAAAAGGCATCTGAAAATAGGTATTAATATTTAAGTATTTTTCATTTTTAACGCATTTATAAAAATTAACACCGTTTATAGAAATACAAGTAATAATATTTAAGCATCTGAAAATATTTTCAGTTGCTAAAGCAAAGAAAAATTTAAGACTATATTCTGAATGTTTTAAAAAATAAATGTTTTTTATGTTTCATAACAGTCATATTTATCTATTAAAGAAAACTCATTAAATTCATCTATTTTTTTATTTTATTCATACATAGTTCTAGTTTTCATATTTTAAACTATTCATTAAGCCTTTAATTAACAAAGATATAAATACAATGTTTTAGGGAATGTTTGCAAAAAGGATATTTTCTTATCACCGCAGATAATGGGAATTTATTCAAAAGTAAATAATGCTCTCATAATAAAACATTTCATCTTCTTGATTCCTTTTTTTTTCTTTTCTGCTCACTCCTCCTCTAGGGATTCAGAATCTAAACTCGGATATATTTTCCTAATTATTTAATAAAACCAGTAATCTTCAGTAACTGCTTTGAATCCCTTTGATATTGACTTAAAGTGGAAAATTACAGTCCAACAACGTTAAACTCTTTTTTCTTTCCATCTGCATTATAGTTGATTAGCTGAAAATCCTGTGCAAAGTTCCACAAAGTTGTTTTGAAAACTCTCATGAAAATGATGAAATTTTTCCCTCTCAAATAAAAAACAACATGCCTGTTGTATTTATAAAATATTGAGCATATCATATGAATAATGCGGGAAGGTTTACGTTGAAATGAACCATCAGAAAAAATATCGAAATGTAATATATCAGTTTCCAAAACAATGATTACAGCACATTGAATTTAACTATTGTTATTGTTGAGTCCATATTTCATTTAAGAAGGGTTGCCAGAACCTCGAAGAGGTTGGACTTCTACTTTCCACTCCAAATTTTGAAAGTGGGCACCCCGAAAGGATAGTCCAAAGGTTTCCTACCTTCGCCCTTACCATTAAACCATACGACAGAACCTTCGACTCGCCATGTATTTAAAGCACCCCCATTCAGCAAAGACTCTATAATTAGAACTCGTGCTCTTCGGTGCGGCAGTCAAGAGTCACTAACCACTATTCCAACTGAGCGGTGAATTTAACTAATGTTCACAGATTAAGACTGCTGTTAGTATAAGGCAATTTGATTTACTGCTAGTTTATTGTATTCTTTGCATAAAATAGAGCTGTAGTGTGCCCTGCAGAAAAATGCACTTTCTATTTCTTTTATCTCCGTGTGCAACATTTTAAAAATAATTTCCTCATTGAATTATTGCTGTATTAAAAATTTCTTTCAGATGAATTCCCCAACCTCATAAGATTATTCGTAAATAACCATGCATTCCGTCCATTGTTGTTAGTAAACCTGAGGTCAATCAGGTAATGTGAACGTGAAAAATTCATTTTTCTATTGGTGGAAAATGTTAAGTCTATCTAGGAAAACCTAACAAAAGCTTGTCATTTTTAAGCAACAAAACTATTCACCATTTTCTAATGCAAAAGTAATTAAATAATTAAAAGTTTAGCTATATTTCTGGAAAGAAATGAGCAACATGTTTTTGACTAAATGACTCAGATATTTAAGAAGGTTGATTTCCCCAGAATCACTCAAAATGTGTACAATTAACACTGAATAAACCTTAATCTGTATCTGCATTTTGCATAATATTAAAGTCATCATTGATTTTAATAACTGATACAAAATACTAAAAAACTATTTATTATTCTCTTTTGCTTTGTTTTTGAAATATGCACATTAGAGGATTTTTTATATTTTGAAGTAATTTGTTAGTAGTTTGTTTGATTTAATAAACCTACTTGCATATGCATTATTTAGGAAATTGCCTTAAATTTCTATATTTCTTATGTGCCAAAATTGTTATAATATATGTAAACATTTTTTTGATTGTATGTTCTATTTTATATACATTTATTTCTTTAACTGTTAAGTATATTTTTATGTAATAATTTTAGCGTGTATTTTTGTTTCATCAAAATCGTAGTAATGTATTTTAAGTGTCTAAACATAGTTCTGTTAGAAGGAGAAATCGATATTAGAAATCGAGATCTAAGCAGAAATTCTCCTGTTACGCCTTGTAAAAATGTTTTGTTGCGAATTTGTCAGTATTTGGTAAATTGATCGCCAACTTAGTGCCATTCTGGAAGCTTCCTGGAAAACTCATTTTTGAGACCCTATGAGCAAGGTTCTCCACAGCTTCAAGAAAACTGGGCAACCTTACATATACGACTCCATTTTTGATCGACTGAAATCAGTTCACTTTAGCGTTAGCTGAAAAGTATATATATAAAGACTGAGTGGTATTGGTGATCTGCGATATATCTTGCATGTAAGGGAAATTTGGTTTATCCCTTTTTTCTCCTTCAACTGTTTACAGCTGTTCACTGTGAGCTGTTATGTATTTAAAAAAAGTGATCATTTATTTCTGCTCAATAACTGTTCATATCTGCTCATCAAACTCGTAACCCACAACAATATATTTTGCTACGATTTAACAGCCTACGTATACTTATTTGCCCATCATCTCCTAAATGTAATACATTACACTTACTTTAAGGGATTATGGGCGGATTAGTGTATGTTATAAGCAACAAAGATCTTCAGCATCTCACTGGCCTGCATCGAAGCGAAGACAGACGTCTAAATGTATGTCCATGTATACGTGATCTAAATGAGTACAATTTTGAATTATTAGTAATATATAATGTGCCCATTAAACGTTTTTTGAAATTGTTGTAAATAGTTATTATTTTAATTACAATTATTTTTAATTTGTTATTGCTAAAATTTAAACTGGTAATACTTTTCATTCAATTTTGTATCATTTTAGGGATTTTGTTTTCCATTAATGGACCAATCTAACAGTCACTTATTAGCCCAAATATCAACAATTCATTATATTCGAGTTGAGTTGTGGATTGTTGGGCTTATTGGTGGGTGTTGTGATCAACGATGTTTTAGCAGAAACAAAAGAAAGCATTTCGAGTTATTAGCAGTTTGAGTTTACCAAATTATCGAAAATTAGTTGTTCGAGACATTCAATATTTTATGCTGGTGTAATAAATACACTTCAGAAATCAAGAAGCAATTACATAATTCGTGCAAAACATTTATTAGATACATAAGTAATATTGAAACATGCTTAAAATCAATGAATGCATTTTCTTAACATTATACAGTCAAAAGTCGTTAATTCGGACACCCATAATTCGGAATGTTCTATAATCCGGACCTCAAAACTAAAAACTTTCTGCGCATGCGCCGCGTTGACACATGCGCATAGGTGTTTACGCGTGCGCGTAAGACCTTTTACGACTGCGCATATGAGTGTGCGCAAGTGCAGAATACGTTTTCGCGTGCGCGTTTTATGTATAATGGACGTATAAGCTAAAATTATTTAATTATCTATTTCAGTTAATGTTGATGATTGCGTTGTTCCTTAATTTTCGAATTGGATCCGGCTTATTATTTTTTGCAGACTGTAATGCAATTTTATAAAAGTAAGCTTAAACTTTCGATTATATCAAATAGAATTTCCCATATATATTTGTTAATATGTAAAGGATCTAAAGCGAAAGTATGTTTTGAAATCCGAAATCTGTTTATCAATTTCACGCTGCTCGGCGGGGGAACGCCGCCCGGCGTAATGAATTGGAAGTTGATCTGTCAACACTATCCTTATCTTCAGGGCAGATGTTTTTATTTTATTTGGCTTATAATTCCTTACCAAATTAGTATTTCATCTCGATGTGCTCCGTCTTTGATATGATTTAAACCAAATTCCTCGTCATTATAATTCGCTTCCGATAGCGAAGAAAGTGACAGAGGTTAGTGAAAACGAAAAAATTTCGATTGACAAATTAGTCGGTGCTCGACACAGCAATTATAGGTCTTGAACAGCGTAACTTTGTAACTAAACAAGAAATTATGTCTGTTTAATAGAATTAAAAAGAAAGTATTATCACATGAAACGAAGCAACTTAAACAACTTACATTGAAAGAAATGTTTAATAAAGTAAACAAATAAATATTAAGCTTTTTCTTTTTGCAAATTTTGATACCCTTTAGATCATAATTGTTCTTTATTTCATAAATTACGGTTTCATATTTTTAATTTTAGAATTTCTGCATGCCATCTTACGAGATTTAAACTGATGATCTATAATCCGGAAAAATCGATAATCCGGAATCGCCGAAGTCCCGACGAGTCCGGATTAACGACTTTTGACTGTATTAGTATTAGAAGTATATGTGAAGTACTTTCTTAAAAAACAGCCAAGATAGAAATTTTGTACATTAAATGATAAAAATTATTTAGACGCAGAATAAAATGTTAGTCATATAAATCATATCGATGCGTTGAACTTCTCTTCAGCATATTTACTTAAGCAAAATACCTTATAAATTGGTACTGGTATGAAACCGGTTTGGTTCTGGTGAAGTTACACGTCGCTTTAGAAGGAAGTTTCGCTTTCCTCACCTCTTTCGTGGGTAATTGGAAGCACGTTCGTTTAGCAGTCAGAAAATCCAGAGTTCAAATCCCATCAAGGATATAGCTGATGTTTCATACTTGCTGCTCTGATAATACCTAATCTTTACGTTACACGTGGATTTGGCGACTGGGTTCCACTCTTCCCTCATCGCCCTCTATATAGAGGAGAAAATACGGAATTTTCTCCTTTCTCAGTGCAGGCCTTCGTGATGTAATTGGAAGCAAGTCCTGGAGAAGGCATTTATTATCTTTCATGTCTCCTATTCCGATAAATGTCTAATCGCTTAACAACTTTTCTAATCGAAATTGGTTAATGAAAGTACATTTACTAAGAAAATGCTTCTCAGTAAATGTTAAAAAAATACAAAGAAAATGTTGGGTTGGTGGGAACCTGAAAGAAAATATGTCTCTGTATTTGAACAGATCGTTTTCGGTCAATAGCAAATACATTGTTTGAAAACATTCATGCATGCAGTATGCAATACATTAATGTATGCATGTATTAATGTAATAATACATGTGATGTTTTCTGATTATCACAAATATTATCTTTTCATTTCTAAAAGAAAATATATTACAGGCCATTTCACCTTTTGGGATTATACGAAAATACAAAGTGAAAATAATTCAGAATTTTGACCACCTGACGGAAATATTTAGAACAAATACAGGTATAAGCTAGCATGGCACCTCTGTAGTATCACAGGTGATTGAAAAGTATTGCTAAATCTTGCTACTTGTTATGCTCCCACCCCAGTTTCGAATACCAACACTCCGCTAGGCGGTTCGAGATTCTCCTTCCAAATGTTTAATATAGAATTCCAAATATCAAATTTATGTTTGAGTATGGAATATCAGGCAGCATGTCGTTTCTATTGTTTAGTCCAAAGTGGCAAAGCACGCAAATGCTTTCTATTTAAGAAGAGATTCCTTTGTGGTGGAAACGTGGCTTCTAATCATGTTATATGCGGGGAAATCTATGTAAGCATCGTGTGGATATAGTGAACTTAATGAGAGACAAATCTTTAGTAGTGTTTTAGAGGCCTTATTTCATCGGTTAATGGTGAGCGAATATCATTTCAATATGCGGTAGCAGCTACTCATATACTGCAGTTTTGCAATAAAAAATTTCACAGTATATTTTGATACACTTTTACAGCGCCAGCAACAAACCTTAACATTGTTTTGTTCATTAACTTGTTCATAATTTTTTTAATTTCAGAATTTACCCAGAGTGAGTGTGTATCGTTAAATCAGCAAAGCTTTCCTCTAACAAATACTTTGTTGCCTATGACCCCATAAAGACGCAACATTTTCTTAGCTTTATGAGATTATAGGCAGCCTGGTATGCGTTTCAATCAACGAAGAGCCTTTAGAGAATTCTAATGCGTAAACAAAAGGTAGTTATTACTTATGTTTTAAATATTTGCTTTGTTTCTGGAAATTATTCGTTTAAAAGTGACCCAAAATGTAACTTCTGTTATTTTTTAAATGTATTTTCAGCATTGACCATAGTATTGATAAACTGTTCTTTAATGTAGTTCGTATTACAAGATTTTTTGCATGATTTAGTGCAACTACAGGAGGATTTCACATGACAGCTGTATAAAATTTTCAGAAAAAAAAAATCCGAAAGAAGTTTCGTAAATTAAAAAAAATATTTATGCTATACAAAATGGGAACTATTTTTCATTTTTGGCTGTACCTATTTATCTCAAGCTAATGATCACTGTTCATTTCCAGAATATGAATTTTAAATTATTTCATGTATTTAATATCCAAAGATTATTTCAATGCATATTTCTCCATTTAATATTTCCTAAATTATATAATTTAATTTAATTAATTTATAGAGACTTCCGGTAACCTATGTTTGTTAATATCCACGCAAAGCATCAGTGGATCAGAGGACCCCAACGGATGTAAAAGTAAAAGTAAATTGTCGTTTTTTATAAAGCCAGTACAAAACAGATAAAACGCGTCAACAATATTTTAAAGTTCATGCTTAGGAACACTATTTCTGCATTATTATTAACATTTATCAACTATTAGTTTCTGACTTAAAGCATTTTCTGTGAAATAGTTTGCCTTGCGCATAAACCTAAAATGCTACGAAATGTTTATTTTATGACATAATTGAAAAACCTGAGTTGCTGTTAGTGAAATAAGTTACTGAAATACCCCACCGGATAAAGGAAGTAAATAGACAGAAGATGAGACTTAATGTTTGGAAATGCGCGTTTTAAATTCAGTTGTTTAACTTTATTTTAAAACTGCATTAAAGCAATAAATATTAATGGGCAGCTTCGTGTGCTTGTATAATTGAAGAGTAAACACCCATCTTTTCTAGAACAGTAATTTTTAAAAATACAATTCATAGTTCATTAATTTATTTCTAGATACGTTAAGATAAGAGAAAATTTATCGGGGTACTATTGCATCTTATCAGGGATTTAATTGTTTTATTTCAGAAAATTCAGTTTGTAAATATTTTAACTTTATATTCAGAAGTGTTCAATAACTTTATTTCCTAAGAATATTAATGAGGCTTGAAAAACTCAGCACTCAAGCATTTATAGCATGCATTTTTACTGATTATTGCCTAAATTGCATTCTTAAAAATAATGCATTCCAGAAACTTGACAACATCATAGACGTAAAAGCAGCTATTCTAATCGTCCAAGATCTTCAACGAAGAACAACATCTGATTAATAGAAACACAGTTCTACATATTACTTAGTACAAAATATGTTTTAATAATACAAAGAAGTATAACATCATCTGCTAGAATCGCCTGCATCTTATCATACAAAGAATTATATTTATTGTTCTCCAGCCGTATTATTTAAAAATCATAAATGCCATTAATCAAGTTTTTTAATTTTTCATGAAGTTTTTATTATGAAGTTTGTATGCTTTTATCATAAAGAAATCGAAGTAGCCTACGCTTCTTCCTTAATGAATAATCTTGTAAAAATGTCTAGCTTTCTTTCTTTATGAAATTATTTGAAAATTGGCTTATGCTGTGATCAACGAAGAAGAAAATATCATAGTGTTATTACGAGTAACATTACATCTGAACATTGCATAGGACAAAATCTGTCTTTATTTTGAATTTTCTATTTAACTTAATGATGTTCTTTACTTTTAGCATTATACTTTTACTTAAATTAAGCATTTATAATTATACTTCTATGGAGATTTTCCAATGTAAATGTTGTATTCCATTGTTATCAGAGGTGATAGGTAAGTTTGGTATGTTGCGATTAATAAAAGTCTTCTTTAAACTAAGACATTCAAAAGGACATGAACATTTCTTGAATGGATTTTTTCTTCATCTGATAGCGTGATAAAAAAAGGTAAGAGGTAAATATTTCTTTGCTAATAAAAACTTCTCTCTAAACGATTCCAGCTGTGACATAAAGTAGTTTAAATGACAAACGTTCAAAGTAAATTTTTAAAAAATGCATTAGATACTTAATTTATAGCGTTAGAAGTATCTCTTATTAGTTACAATAGCAGTGCAAATTTAAAAAAAAAATATTAGTCCGATATAAATTTAGAACATTTTAATATACAAAAATCTGGCATATTAATAAAACAATTATTAACGAAAGTGGTTATTGCTTTTTAAATTCCGCAGTTTTTTAAGTAATTAGATTGATTTAAGTCATTAGCTAGTTAAGTAATTAGACTAGTCGGTAATTAGATTAGTAGTTGTTTTAACAAAGGGCAACAGTCTGAGTAGTAATTATGCTCAAGATCGAGAAAAAGATAAAGGCTTCTATTTTGCTTAGGTGGATTAAATTTATTTTATGCAATGAAATGCATGATTTTGCAGAGTACTTGTTTAATTTATGAGCAATCATAATCCTTTTATGTAATCTAAAATCAGTGCTTTTTAAAAGGACGAATACGTTTTACCCATTAACAACTTTAGAAAACACTTTACTAATACGTAATTATATTCTCTTACATTCCAAATGTGACATATATGCTATAAAAATAATATTTTTTTAGATTATTTCGTAGCATTGATGGCAGACCAAGCTTAATATTCTTAAATACTGCATTATGGGACTAAACTGTCCATTTTGTTCATCGACTTACTTATTTTATATATCATTACTACATTTTCCCTTTAATATTTTTCAAATATAATGTTTATTTACGTAATATTAACATACTACCACGCGAAGATCAAAGTACTTTATTGTTTTTAAGCAAAACAGGTCACCATAGCATTCAACCTAAGGCATTTTTTGTTGCTTTCCGTACAAAACATGCACTACTGAAACGCAGACCTTATTCTCTCTTATGAAATTTAACGTGCATATAGATTTTTTACTATGTATTCTTGAAATAGTTATCACCATTATATTTTAGACATTTTTTATTATTAAACAAGTAAAAATATTCAAATCCTGATATACAAAAGCATAGTCTTCAAGATCGAATGGGTATGTATTAATGCTTTTCATTTTTGCTCGCCAACAAAATGCATTAACATGCATTTTCTTGCGAATACCTTATAAAAGTATTGCATTTGATTACTTTATAAGAGTATTCGTAAGTTAGTGCATGTTGAGATCAACAAAGTTTCTCTGGAGCACTAAGATGCAGGAGAATTATGCAAGCTTCTAAAAAATGCGATAAGTATATTTTTTGTATAAACCAGAGAGCACAAAATATTATGTGTTACTTAAACTAATAAACAGTTTTATAAATTAAGCATACTAGCATTCATTTCTTAAATAATAAATTCTCATTTTAAAAAAATTATGTTTAATACTCACAGTAAAACAATTTGTTCTGTTGATGTTTCTTCTTGACCTTTTTGTTTGCAATACGATACTGTAATTTTTCCTGCAAATTGCATTGCTTCTGAAAAGACAATGAATAAAAGCAAATTTATATTCAATACTTCTCTATTCCCTTGCGAAATTAATAGTACAAGATATTCTCACAAAGATGACCTGCCCAGCATTTTTCATTTGTTGTCCTGACGTAACAAACATATCGGAATTGTGTTCCGGCAAATGGGAATGAGAAATGAGATGACTATCAGTGTTATGAAATTTATGATCATAATAACTAACTGAAAATTATGACGAATATGAAAGACTGTTTTAAATGAGGAAGACTGTATAGCTTTTATTAGCCAGATTAAAATTTTACAACAATTTTATCAATTAAAATTTAATAACAATTATAACATTTTTATAACAATTTTATCAACATTCTGATTGAAGATGCTGTAGTTGGTCTTTAAATTTATTCATGATAGGTAGATCATTAGAGACAAACGGTATGTCCATCAGTTCCGAGAATGCTGCTTAAATTTATATTTTTTTTCTCGTTGTGCATCCAATATTTTTAGAAAACATGTTTAGAAATAGTGCGAAAATAAAGAAACGAGAAAATTATGTAGAAAGTGTACAGAAACAAGTAAACAACTTCAAAATTATGACAATTTTTAAAGAAGATAGGATGTCATCTTTTAATGCATCTATGTGTATTAGCAGTTTGCATGCAGAAAATATAATACTATTCAATTAATGATGATAAAATTCTGTGGTCGATTTAAGTTTAAAAATGCTCATGTTAATGAATTTATGTACAATGAATTCTGCCACGGCCAAGTTTTACCTTTTGTCTAAAACATTTACCCTTGATAGCGACTATGTTTCTGAGGACATAAACCAGTATTGGTATTAAAGTACAACCTGTCTATGAGCACATATGAAATATGTAATTTATACAGCATATATGGAAGTATTAAAATTATCTCAGTACATATGAAAATTATTATATTATTATGAAAATTATTATTAAAATTATCACAGCACATATGAAACCACTGTCAACAACTGAACACGGTTGAGCTCTTATCTGCATCACATATACATTACACATTCCTTGAAAATCAAGTTAAACTAATGACATTGCATTATCAATTTTTTATGTTACCCTTTTAACCATTGTTTACATTACCTTATTCTTTACATTCTAGGATCACATTCACTATTTCATAACTTAGCTGATTTTCAGGGGCGTAACTAGAGAGGGGCAAGAGGGGGCATCTGTCCCCGGGCGCAGAATCCAAGGGGCGCCAAACTGATGTTACGACATTTTAGAATTAAATGTTTTCCATCCTTGGCAAGCAGTAGGGGGCGTAAAATCTTCAGTTGTCCCTGGGCGCTGAAAACCCTAGCTACGACTCTGCTGATTTTATCGTTTGATCATATGCCTTTTACATATACATTTCATATTCCAATGTGTCATGACATTGTTACAAGCTACCTTGTATTAAATCAACCTGTCTATGAGAACTACTTCCACAGAAGACTAAACAGTTTGCCGCTTGAGAGAGAGTGTGTATAGTACAACTGCTCAAGATAGTTGAGCTACATAACACTTCAAGCACAAAAGCGTCTTTTTAATACTATGAAACTTAAATTAAGCTTAAGTAAGATTCATCTGTAAGGAAAGCTAATTTCAGTTTTATGAAATTTAACACAATAATCAAACCGAACTTCCAATGGATAAACAAATGGTCATATCAGCCGCATTCTAACTTACTTTGTTAAGAACTTATTTTTATGCTATTTAAATGCTCTATGAATAATTTTTATTCCCTGAAAATCTGAATCGGAAACGTCAGAATCAAAGAAAAGAAATCAGTTAAAAAAATCACTTATTTAACATGAAGCCTTGTAAGCTGGGTCCCAAGTATTAAGCAGAAATTTGATGAGAAATTACCTGAAATATTTCTGTTAGTTTCTGTTTTTTTTTCTTTCAGAAAGCAATTAATGAATTAAACATATTTTCAAGCAAGAGAATAAATTGCTTTTCCGATTGATTGCAGCATTAAGAAGCATAAAAATAAATCTAATTGTTTGTTTATTTATTCGAAGCTCATTTCGTGGAAGCTTAAAATGTTCGCAGAAACGTAATGTGACGGGCTGAAATTTGTAATAATTGAATTTAGCTGTAGAGGCATTCTCCTGTCTGTTGAAGAAATGTACGAAGTATCATCACCCAGGATAGCGTAGTTTGCGTTTTACTACAAACATAGTTGAATAAGCATTAGAAAATTCGGTGACATCGCGTTTTAAGTGAAAAGCGTATGAGTCAAAGGATCTGATATTCTTTGATGAAAATCGAATTTCTGCCATGCTACAACGACTTTTATCAGATTTTGTACCCTCTAACCGCATTATTAACTCCTTTTTAGCAATATGTTTCTATGAGTCCATCATTTCAAGAAAATTCAAACTATCCCATAGTGCCATCGCTCATCTATGAATTGTTAATTACCAAAAGAAGTAATCTGCCGGTACTTCCTGGAATGCTGTGAGAGTTGAAACAAATGTGTGGATGTGAAATCGAAGTTAATAATTAAGTACACAGTTTTTACACTTCAAATAGAACTGCTCCACAAGCATATTTTGCAATCTTGTTTAGACTATAGTATTTAAAATTAACGCAAAATATACTTAAGAGAAAAAAAGTTATAATTTTTTAGCTTATACTGATCACAGCTACTATGCCTTATATTATGCCAAACAAAAGGCTGTGCAAAATTAAGAAATTAATCCATCACTTAACGCATTTATTTTTAATTATTATTACATTTCCATTGACTGTTGTAAAGAAATATTTAAATATATATTGTATGCTATTCCATAAACAGAAATTTTGAAAGAATGTTTGTGATTTGTAATTTTAATTGAAGAAAATAAAAATAAATAAATAAATAAGTCATGGTGTTACCTGTTCCTAGAATGCTTTCCAAATCTTCGACTGAGCATTTTGAAGGGACACAAACACCCAGCTTAAATGTAGAATTTGTAAGATGTTTGTACCTGACAAACATATTCAGAAACTGAAATAAAAACATAAATATAAACTAAGTTTCTAATAAATTACCTTAAAAATCACTGTTAATTATTTCATTTTTACAAGAAAATTTAGCACAATTCTTGGTACTTAAATTTATTAGCTTGTAATTCTTTTAACTCAAACCGAATCATATTTTAAAATTTTCCTTTGTTTTTAATTAATATTTAGCTTGGCTTTTAATTTCAGTTTTATGTTTCCCACTTCTTTCTTTAGGTATATATTCGTATTTCGAACAAAAATATTGTTCTAAAAGCAATCGAAAGTTTCCTTTCAAAGAAATCATGTTCCTTGTAGATCAGTTGGGTCAACTCACAAATATTTTCATGTGGTTCAGAGACCACAGAAGTGGAACGAGAAATTATTTTTTTTTTTTTTTTTTTTTGCATCTGACATTCTGGTAAGAATTATAAATTGAAAACATGAATCATTCTTTGAATTAAATCACACCAGGAAAGAAGTTTAAATCTTCCTTTTGTAGTAAGCAACAGAGCTATGGTATATATGGAGACATTACGAAAAGAAAGCAGTTTCAGTGACTTATTGACTTAGTACAAGGGCATTACTAACTATATCCTTGTGCTAAATAAACCTACAAGGGTATCGGAGTTCTCTTAACTAGTAAAACCCGTGAATCAAATAAGCCTAGAAAAATAATACTTTTTATTTTGCTTGTATCATCAGGACAGCGATTTCTGGTCAAATGTCCCTAAGATCAGCACGGAATGTTTTTATATCGGAAAATCTCTTTTCATAAAAGTTTTTATATCGAGCAATATATGTGAGAAAGTGTAATTTTTAAATTATTTCCCTTTTCCGCGCTTTCTTTTCATTTTGTTTCTTTATTTTAAACTAGCGGAAGTACGCGGTAAGCACTCAAGTTAGATTGAGATAAATGCATCTACCAACAGAGAGAATGATATCGCTGTAAATAACGATGCAAAAAATGCGATTCATAGTCATATATTTTTAAGTCTGATGTGATATGATGTGACATAAAAAATTTCGATAGAAAAATAAACTAATTTTCTCTCATTATATCAGGAATAATGGCACGCAGTTTTTAGTGATTTTCGTCTTTCTTATCAAATGATCGTAAAAGCTCACGTTCCATCCAATATTTAACCTATATTCCACTTTAGTCAATTAAATGTTGCGAAACATTGATTATAATTCATCAGAAATGAATAACGCGAACAAACAAACACACAAACAGGCATTCTTCTTTATCTATACAGATTTCGTAAAACTTACAAATTGTTGATTAACAAACTGTACTATTTGAAATGGAGCAGTAGCAACACTTTTCGAAATAAAGCATTTTTATCTCCAACCACGCAATGTTGTTGCTACTCGGAAAATGAGTGCGAAAATTAGCATTTTCAGAGTTTTTAATTAATATCTCGGGAGATGAAAGTCGCACGAAGATGGAAATAATCGAAATGGCTTCTCACGAATATTTGGAATCACGGATAATGTATTTAATATTTCGCAATGCTATTTTTATTTCATTGTAAAACTTAGAAATTTTTTATTAATATACTCAACGATTTGAACCAAACAGTGGCAGCGCTTCTCGAAATAAAGCAGGTTTTTATCTCCAGTGCGCGAGAATGTTGCCACATGTAAAAGTGAGGGCGAAAATTAGCTTTTTAAGAGTTTTTAATTAATATCTCTAATTTTAACTTTTTTTTTGGAAAAAAGTGGACCCAGAGCTCACGTGCAATTATGTAATAATTAACGCAATGCAATTAATAATTTAACGTTAATACTAATAATTAACCTAATGTAACTGTTTCGTTTGGCACTGCTGTTTTTTACATGTAGTTTAAATACATTTTTTAATGTTCTGTATTTTGAATTTATGGAGATTAATTATTTAAATAATATGCATATCTCAGTTAAGTTAAAACTACTTCAGGTATTAAATAGGAACCTGAGTATGAAGACTGCAGAATTTTTCTTAAGGTCAGTGGTTTAAAATTGTGCCTGTTTTCAGGCACGAGAAACCGTTTTATCTTAGAAGAGATAATTTGTGTATCCGCTTCCGAGAATATTTCCACTTGGATTACAGCGGGATGTTTCAGGTATTTCTTACCTTTACTATACATTAGTGTTTAAAGCCTGAATTCTATTTACTTTATTTTTTTTTAAGATTCTTAATCTGAATTCAAATGAACAAATTTTGCAGAAATTTTGAAACAAAAGCACTTGAGTGTAAACGAAAGATGTTAGATCAGAAAAGGGTATATATTTAACGAGTGCTTAAGAGAACGTTTTGAGTAGTGGTATTGATCATGCTTTATAGAATAATAGCTATTGAAACATATTCAGTAATTTTCTTACTGAAGGTATATGCTTGTTAATTTTTCGAAGGGAGAATCTGTCAGTATTCGGCTGCAAAACATTCGAAGATGAAGGCATTGTGTTTCTTCACTAGAAAGGCATTCTGTATCTTCACTAGACATTTTGTCCAGGCTTTCTTGTCTTATCTAATCATTGTATTCTATCTCGTTCATTTGCGCTTTTGCAGCTGAGGATGATGGTTCGGTAAATCCATCGAAACTAGCCCTGTGAACATTTGAAAATATAACGCTGATTTTTGTTGTTTGATTTCTGAATTAGTATTTGTTCGGCGTGTTATTGTGTCTTAATTTTAGAAAGTCTTTAAAAATTACCAACATGTATTTACAGAATTAAATTTCATTAAAATTCAATAACAAGCGTAGTTAAATGTTTTTTAATAATCACACACTGTTTATAAAGGAAAAGAAACTGAAAAATGATTGCGTCTATCTCTCTTCACCTATTGTAATTAGTGACTGCCTTTCTAATCGATGTAGTGGTTAGTGATGCTGGTTTCCGTACCGTCGGGCCTGGGTTCGAATCCTGCAGAGAAGATGGATGTTTGTGTAGTGTCTAAGACACGGCGGGGCTTAAAATACCAACTAGATAAAATTCCTTTCGAGTGATTTAGTGGTAGAGGAAGAGTGGTAGGAGACTATCTAATCCATTCCACGAGGAGTGCTCCAGCAAATTTAGGACGTACTAACAGTTAGTGCTATGATACTACAGTTGTGAGACAATTTGCTATTTCAAACCATTTTCTCTGTCTAATTATTAGTGACAGAAATTAATCATACTGTTTCTTTTAAATGTATATATTTATGCTAGAGGAACAAACAAGAAACACAAACTGCTAAAGCATCTCAGCTAATAAAATAGCTAAAGAGTAACATTCTGAAACACATATTATCTAATAAAACCTAAAAATTCATTTTTATATAGCTCTTGATCAATTATTGAAGGAAAAATTGTGAATAATAGCCAGCATTTTATGATACAGTTATTACAATAGATTTCAGTGATTTACTTATATGAAAAAATAATAAAATTAACATTTTATGTAGAATTAATTAATTTTATTACCATTTTATGTAGAATGTTGATAATAAAAAGCAGGATAACTGGTTTTTATTATTAATATTCTACATAAAATGCTATTTTTACATGGAATCAAAAAACGAGATTTTATTTTGTTTTAAATTTTAGTAAATTAAAGTTCCTCAAGTTACAAAAATTGAGTTAAAATGAATTGCAGTATTCTACATTATGCAGGCGTATTCTGTAATAAATTTTAATTAAATCTTGGTTGAATTCAACTTCTAAAAAACTTCTCATTTAGAAAATATGCTTGGAATATAAATTTTCTATTTATTGCATTTCTGCTTTACATCAGATGTAAATTTAAGGGATGTACTCTCTTAGATAAATGAAGAAAAGTATTATTATAAGAAGAGAAGAATAAATTTAAAAAAATCTAAAATGTTTCAGATTTTAAATTACGCCCAAAGACGCGTTTATTTAACGTTTTGTGCGTTACCTTTTATTTATTAAATATCATGTTCCATATTATTCATGTTCAATTAAATATTATTCATGTTCATCATCAAATATCATGTTCCCTATTCCATATTCATTAAATATCATGTCCACTTAAACCATAAAATTTAGTTCAATAGCAATGTCGCAAAATAATTTTAAAATGAGCATATCTTTAGAATTTCCGATACACAATTCGACGCGCTGGAGATAAAAAGGTGGCTCTATGGACCGTTGTTTTATCACAATGCGAGGAATATGCATACATTTATGCAGAATTTTCATTATTTAATTTCGTCAAATCTAATGCAGGACTCTTAACATGTGGTGGCAACAGTTTGAAAAGTGAAACGAGCATTTAGAGTGATTCAACGCAGAATCGCAAAACGAAAACAATAGTCCTTCAGGGACAAAGCCCCTTTGGACTAATAATAAAGTAAAGCCTTATAATTCCGTTTCTATGATTTCCTTATAAGTTAAAATATCTGTAACTAAATGATAATATTTTGCAAGTAAAATGTTCGAGAGGGAAAATGAAATGTCATTTTGGAATTTATTAATTTTATATTTCATAAAACTAAAAGGTCTCATATTTGAATTGAAGTTAAGTATAGTTTCCCTGTGTAAATTAATTGGAATCGAAAGTTCAAGTTAAAAAAAAAGTGATGCTTTAAGAATTTTTAAAAATTACAAGCAGAAGACGCTTGTTACTTTATTTACCATCCATTAATATATCCATCAAATGGTAAACAATGCATGGTAAAGAAATACAGCAATTAAATAAAGTTATCTAATATGCGCAAAAAACGAACTTAACACTTACAGTTTTAGTTTTAGCAATAGGTGATTCTTTATTACCATGCTGAAAATCATCGATAGCTTTCTGAATTCCTTCCGGCCTGTGACTTTCCAGTAAACAGTATTGTCCTCTGAAAGCAACATCTTCTGGCCTAAGTGGACGATCATCCCTTCTTCCTACTTCTATATCCAAACACTCATCATAGTCACCAATAGAGAGAGAAGTTCCTTCCAAGATACCTGGAGGTATTTTTCCAGAGGCATCGATAACTGAAAAGATATAATTTGATTGCAATAAAATTTCACGTGCGTAAATTGACATAAAAGTCTAACTACAGTACTATAAGGCAATTTTCTCCCTCCTTTTTCATGCTTTCGTAGTGTAACGATAGCACACTCGATGTGTATTCGAGAGGTCCTGGTTCGAGTCTCAGCAAGGATATTCCACATTTTTCATATCACCTGCTTCAAAATAACATATGACTACAGTAAAATGGATAGAAATTAATTATGTAAAATTCAATTTTTCAGAGGCAGATACATCTAAACGTGGTGTGCGGTGAAATCTGATTTTAGGTATTCTGTAACAGATCCAATTCACTGGATGACTGAGCTTGAGATTAGTTTTTTCTTTTTTCTTTTTTACTCTGGAGAATTCGCTATGTATGTGTTTTATGGAACTAATTAAAATCACAAATAAAATGAAATGTATAAACAATATTGATGTTAATCAGGTTTTAACTGGACATGGTAGGTTTCTGTTCTATTTCAACCGATTTAATCTGCAGGAAAATAAATTATGTAATAGTTGTCAGGTTTATGGTGATGCTAGGCATTTTGTGGTTGATTGTAGTTTAACAGCCCCTATTAGACAGATTTTTAACATTACTGATTTTAATGAAGTGTCATTAATTTTAAAGTTTTTAAATCATATTCTATTGCTCTAATGAAGTTTATGAATGAAAACAGGGCACTAGTAGGAATCTTCTGTTAAAATTGAATTTTGTATTTGCGTGGGTTTTGGATATCTGTGGTGTTCTGTGTTGTGAATTTGTGTTTATGGATTTTTTTGTTTGTTTGTTAGTCTGTAATTTTGTGTTAGATGTGCTTATTTAGTTTTGATTTAGTATTTTTGTTTGTTGTTTGGGGGTGGCTGGGTTACTGGCTGCCCTCGTTTGTGGAGATACGGGGCCCCTTCTTTTGAGCTATGGGGACACTCGTGTCCAGGTGGGCTGAAGGCAGCCTCCAATCCTTACAATTCTTACATATATCTGCATATACTGGGTACCTGGGAAAAAAGTGATGAAAAATGAATGACACATATATCTGCATATACTGGGTACCTGGGAAAAAAGTGATGAAAAATGAATGACACATATATCAAAATTAATGTGTTTATTACGCTGTAGTTAACATTGTTGGAAAAAACTCAAAAAGTTTTATTTGCCGGGAAGACTGGCGCGGAGCGAACTTGACCCCTTTTTCTCTCTGTGGCGTTGGCCGGTGTTGACCTCTTTGGATTTCTTCATGTGATGATTTGTAAAGGAAAGAGATTATTGAACTCGCTGGAGATTTTTTTGCCCGCGTTGCAAAAGCGAAAGAACGGTAGGCACTGTGGACGCATTTATAATGATGGGGGGGGGGAGCCGTAAGTGGTCTACAATACTTTCTAAAGGAATCAGATTTAATTTCATCGAGTGATGTAGTATGTTGTTCTTTGTGTCTTCTCTCTCTCTACAAATATATATGAGACAATTTCTGTATATCCTGAAATCCATAGGAGTCAAGCTGAAGATATAAGATCTCAAGGAATCGCTGATGCGGTGGTTCCAGAACTTTTTTCATTGTTATCTTGAGAATGTGTATAGGAATAGTTATATTTTCATGCGAAATAAACATTTTAAAAATGACATTAAATATAAACTGTTATTGGATTTAAAAATATACCGGTAATTTGTTTTTCGAAGAATAATTTAATGGCGACATCTCAGTCTTCTCTTCGCTGGATCCGAGGTGTCTGCGCATATTCTGAAATGCTGAAGTAATCGTTAGCAAACTGCAAAGGAGCATTCGAACTACTGCATGATGATCATTGTCACATTCTTGCCACTAGGTGGCGGGCATCTCTTCCTTTACTTTTGCTGTAATTAAGTTCCGAGAACCAGTAGAGATTGGAACCGCTCGGAGGAGCGTAAAGACTCAGAACTAAAAATGTACTGTCTTAAAATAGTTATCACCTACCTTGTAAATAGTGTATATTAGCTTTTTATTTCAATAAATAATTAAAAGACAAGATGGCTTGTTAGCAGTAATAGAAACTCTTACTGAAAACGTGATTATTAGAAGCCTGGCGTCGTGAACACTAAAGATTCAGCAGGTAAGGAATTTTACATTAATTTTATTGTAAATAGAAGAACCTGATGCAGCATTATTATGGCGCCCGAACAGGGACGCTAGGTTTTTTGAAAAGTTCTAATAAAGTGAATTCAAAAGCTGAATATTAAAATTGAAGATTTTAATACTTTTTCTTGAAGTATTCAGCAAAAGAATAATTTTGTTTTCTAAGTAAGAGTTAAATATTTGTTTTTCATGAGACGTATATTTTTGTGTAAGTGTTTGAATCTAAGAAAGATAATGGCTGAAGTAGATAAATTAAAAAAGAAAAGAAGTATCTTAAGAACTGCCGTTACAAAACTATTTAAGAAAATCGAAAGCGAATTAAATAAATCTGAAGGTAGTATTAATGAGCTCGAAGAATTGTTAGAACAGCTTAATGCTAAAACCGAAACGCTATCTAATGCCGATGTGGAAGTTGAACCAATTCTGAGTGTAGATGAATTCGAAATTACAGAACAATATCGCGAGAAGATAACGTTATGGAAATAAATTCAGGCTTAAGAAACGGATTAAGGAACTTAATCATGACTTAAATGCACCGAACACACAGCAAAATATAAAAGGTACACTTAATGTTAAATTACCAAAACTTTCGATTCCCGTATTTTATGGGAACAGTAGTCAATGGCTTACTTTTTGGAATAGTTTTGAGTCCTCAATACATAATAACGAATCATTGAACAAAGTAGACAAATTTAATTACCTGAAAGCATATTTAGGAGGAACAGCTGCTAGCTGCGTTCAACTACTTCCTTTATCTCCAAAGCATTATGATTCAGCAATTCAAATCTTACACGACCGTTTTGGAAGGAGAGACATTCTTATTAATGCGCACATGAATAATTTGCTGAATATTGAATCATTAAAAAATGCGAATGACATAAAAACATTTCGTAACTTGTATGATAAAGTACAAACACAGATTAGATGTCTCGAAGCGTTAGATGTTGTATCGGAATCTTCAGCGCTTTGCTGTGTCCGATGATTTTGAAGTTATTGCCTTCAGAATTAACGCTTGAATTTCATAGAACACAAAATGTTGGCACCGATTATAACATAAAAGATTTAATGTCATTTTTACACGCAGAACTTTCATCCCGTGAACGCACGAGGTCAACGGTTTCGCAACAGCAAAAAGTATCCGATCGGCGACAGTCTTCTTCCCCCCCTGGAACGAAAAGCGCATATGGTTTCTCAAATAGACATAATAAACCAAAGATTCCGACCGCTACTGATTTGTTTACAAAATCCGAATGCAGAGAGGAAAATATGAACTGCGTCTTCTGTAATCAATTCCACAAGATTTATGACTGTAGTTTCGTTTCCGGCTTATCATTACAAGAAAAAAGGGACATTTTAAAAAGAAAATGTGCTTGCTATAAATGCCTAAAATTACACCATTTGGCTCAAAACTGCAGAACAAAAATAACTTGTTCTATTTGTAAAAAACAACATGCAACTATTATGTGTAATAAACAAAATCCTTCTGTCGAAGTTTCGGAAATTAAAAAAGGCAAACAGATAGAAAATAAAGTACTTTCAAATCAAGCAGGATGTTCAGAAGTATATTTGCAAACTTTAATTGTTCGCATATATGGAAGAGGGAATAACCAATTTGTTCGAGCGATAATTGACACCGGAAGTCAAAACTCATACATAAGCAGGTACGCAGCAGAAAGGTTACAATTAAGAAGCTTAGGTGAACAAAGTGTAACCCACGGACTTTTCGGTGGCATAGAAGTTTCGGGAAAACATAAACGTTATAGAATAAAATTGGGTAGCGTAGATAAACGGTATAATTGCGAAATCAATGTATTGGATGAAAGAAAAATATGTTCTTCGGTCCCTAAAATCAAAAATATACACTGGATTGGGGAACTTAGAAGAAGAGGAATTTACGTCAGTGATGTTTTTGAAAATGGAAATTGCAGATTATTCCAGGAGAACCCCCAAGAGATTCATTTGTTGTTAGGGGCAGATATTGCTGCAAATTTATTTACTGGTAAAATCGAAGTTCTTCCTTGGGGAAGATTAGTTGCTGTAAGTACAAGACTTGGGTGGACAGTCATGGGGAAAGCGAACACTGACAATTATGAAATAGAAAATTCCTTTTCCACGCTTTCGTTATCTTTACATATTTCTGATGCCACGTTGTCAGAACTGTGGAGGCTTGATGTTATCGGAATAACAGATCCAGTTACAAAAAAGGCTAGAGAGGAAAGGGATTTGCAAGCAAAATTGCAATTCGAAAATTCTGTATCTCTAAACGAAGAAGGGCGTTATGAAGTCGCACTTCCGTGGGCGGAGAATCATGTACCACTCTCCACCCACAAGGATTTAGCGTTGAAACGTCTACAATCTACTACCCAGAAACTTTTATCTCAAAATTTATTTTCTTCATACAATGCAATTTTTAATGACTGGTGTAACTTAGGAGTGATCGAAGAAGTTAAAGAAAATATTGCGGTTGACTATGGACATTATTTGCCACATAGACCGGTGATCAAAGAAAATGGCTCAACACCAATTCGACCGGTGTTTGATGCGTCTGCGAGGAAACAATTGTCTCCTTCTCTAAATCAGTGTGTGGAGTGTGGACCAAATTTGATAGAACTAATTCCTTCTCTTTTGTTGAGATTTCGGGAAGGCAAGTTTGCTGCTATAGCAGACATTGAAAAGGCTTTCTTACAGATCAGTGTAAGGCCTCAAGATAGAGATTGGCTTCGGTTTTTCTGGTGGGATGATGTGGAACAAAAGAAAACGAAAGTATTTCGTCATACTAGAGTAGTATTTGGGGTTAAGAGTAGTCCTTTCCTTTTGGCAGCTGTTATAGAATTCCATCTACAAAAGTACATGAAAAATTCCTCATATGA